TTAGAGCTGTTCTACGGTTTTTAACTTGCAACAAATATGGCATTGAAAATGAAGCTGTGTTAGTCATGGCGCCTGAAAGTACACTAATTTCTAGTGCTATGTAAAAATGTATAGTAAATAGCTAATAAACATATATTAAGAAAGCTGATTGTATACATAGCAAAAAAAACACTAATTTTTGAATATTTAAGTGACATTATATGTGAACAGAGATCACTGTTTTTAAGACAAAAGGGTTCACTTTTTTTAAATGCAGTGCTTTTATTACTCTTGGATTTGTAAAAGTCTATCGACAGTATTTATTAATTTTTAAAAGCTTACATTTATGTTCTATGCTATTCAAACGCGTGTTTTATAAAACGGAAGGTCTATATGCAAAATGTACAGGTGACAATTCATATTTCTCAAACTACGAAGCTTTTAAAAATTAAAAAAAACAATATTGGTAGTAAATGGATATTCTTGTTGATGTTTTGTTTTCTCTATCTGGTATATGTTCTACAATTTTGTCTATTACGGTAATTTATGTTGTCATACGGCACTCACCTAAAAGCATGGATGGGTATCGGCGATTCGTCGTTAATTTTACGGTAAGGAATAAAATTTTAAAACACGGTAGACCTTTTTACGTCACGAGACGGGCATATTGTGCGTACTATAGCAAGACGTTTTTAAGGGCTGTTATGATATACAACCAAACCTCTTTAGTATGACACCTTACGTACTGGCTCAAAGTGCCATTATAACCAGGGTGTCACAATATCCAGCTACTTTTTGATTGATATACCATAAAGACGGTCAGAAAGTTTTCATTATAAAGAAATTGGCGTACTGTTGAAAGTCATACTAAAGAGGTCCTGAAGGTTGTTGAAAATTGGCTTTTTGCTTTCATTGTCGAACTTAACTGTCGATATTTTTAGTCATGGGACTTTTTGTTCTCAATTACATTAAGTGTCTTAGTCAGACCAGAAATGATATTTCCGTACAACGGATCTTATGTAAACGGTCTTTTTAAGTATCTTGGTGATGTGGGTGCCAAGTTTTCTGTAAGTACATGTTTTTTTTATTTGAAAAAGATTTATTTTATTAATATACATAATACTTTTAAAAATTTAAAAAAATTTATTTCTTTATCTACAGATTTGTTATTTTTATTTCAAATATTGACTTTTCAAAAGTAAACTTAATATTTTAGTTAGTATTTATCATAAACTCGGCTGGTCATGCACTGTCAACTCAGGTTTATTGTTTGTTTTTTCGATACGCTATCATACAAAATAATCCTAAACTTACGGCGTTTGCTTTATCATGGGGTACTTGGATCAGAAGTTGGGTAATTGCGTTTGCCATATCGACTACGGCCGGAATTTTTATTTTTGCACCGATTCAAATTCCTCAGGAGGTACGTTCTTGTAGCAAAGAAAAATGATTAAAACGGTAAAAAAGCTGGTAAATAAAACCGGTAAATTTACATTTACCGATAAATATCCAACTCTAGTTATAAGTTTGAATCACTATGCCAATTTAACGGGAAATTCAAAAAAAATTGTTTTGTTTTTAATTTCTTTGAGATTTACAGTAAAGCGCAATTCAGTACTATGCTAAAACTTTTATATCTACATGAACTTTTGATAGAAAAAGTTTGAAATCAATCAGAGCGGGGCAGGTCGGGCATTTACTTTGTAAGAACTTTTAGTGGCAGTTTAGGCTTTAGTTTTGAGGCTTTTGCCACCGTAATACTTATATTGTATTATAGTGAAAAGATTTATTTTTTAGAACGTCAAAGCTCATATATTGTACATAATGAACCTAAACTCTTTTGCTTTATCTACCTTGCCCGACTTTAATCGTATTATATTGTACTTACCTCCAACTGAAAAGAAGTCTTTATATGCTGCCATTTTTATATTTTGTGGATTTTTTATATTTGAAGTGGCATCTATAGTGTTTGTGTTTATCATACTTCATCAATTGGAGCAGAAGAAAGCTAGTTTTACTAAGGAAACGTTCAGATTACATCGACAGTTAACCATAGCCTTAGGGTTGCAAGTGAGTTATTTTTACGGAAATGTGGTTGAGGAATGGTTAGTATAAGACTATGGGATGGCAAGGGGTGGGTAGTATATACATTTTAGGTAAAGGCAGCTACTGCAAGGTTTATAAAGAGCTAGCGTAGGGATAAGTTTAGGTAAACTTAGGTCTACTTTAAGGTAAACGATTTCTTATATCATTACTGTAGTTTCAGCTTTTAACCCCATTTGTCCACATTGTGCTCCCAGTCACCGTATGGCTGTTTTACAACTATCCGTATGGAAAAATGTTAAATACTACAGCTAATTTGTTTGTAATGTACATTGAGCTCTATGGTACCTCAAACTCATTAATTACCTTACTTTTTGTAAAACCATATCGACACTATCTAAAGTCGAAGTTAAGGAGTTTTATACGATTAATTACTTGTAATAGGTTTGGCAAAGAACCAGAAGTCATTGTTGTTATGGTCAATGAAAGTACTATTAGCTCTGCTTTGGCTTAAAGTTTGCTTAGGGTGGTTTTTAAATAAAGTTTTATATTGTTTTTGTTCATGATTTAATATTTTATTTAGAATTTCTTATTAGTTTTAGCTTTTATGACCTATCTTAGTAATACATAGAACTTATTAATGAAAAAAAGTTATTTTTGCCATTAGAGTTCAGCAAAACACGTAAAATATATGACGTTTTTGTCATTTTTTATTTCGAGAACTATAATATATATGGTTAGTATTTTAGAGCAAAACAGGTGATTTCCATTTCAATTATCTCTTTTTGCTGTACTTCAGGATTCTATAGCGTGGATCAACTTTGTAATCTGATAATAAAATAATTTAGAAGGAAAATCTGCAGTACCTTCACATAGTAATAGACAAGGAAGTAGTTAACTTATTTAGTAGTCTAACGTATGTGAAAGAAAATAAATGAAATTCAAGGTACAAAACGCTACAATAAGTAATATAAATAATTTTTAATTTATTAAATTAACTTTTTTAATGCCGCCTTTTATTTTCATCAAAATGATTACATTTTCTTGCAAGATTTGATGTGTAATAAGTTAACCAGTGCCGGGTATGAATGTTTTAGTCTGATAAGGATTATAATGTTTAAACAAAGGTACAAAATTACTATTGGCTTATCATATAATAGTTCGACATGTGTTGTTTATTAAGTTTATTTTTTCTGTTTTATAAAGCTGTTGTCCGTTGTTTTCCTTCAATATAATCATTGAGAAGGAACCAATAACACCTAAAAAAGAATAAAAATGCGTGCTATTTTACAGTATTATTGTAAATGTTGATATATATGCTCCACGATAACCGCGAACCTTTCCAAAATTTCTCTTATCAGCCACAGAATTAACCGAGCCGAAACATGAGCTAACCTCAAACTTGGGTTAATAAACCGAAGAATACGTCCCGTCTCTCCCTTGTCTTTGCGCTGCCACTTGCTTTTCGGATAAGAAACCCCCGATTTTTGGAGGCGTTTTCTCACTCTGCCACTCTCTCTTGAAGGCTTTATTTTACAGCGCGCTAATATATGTCTCTCATTCTCTGACAGAGCGAGTAATATTATTTCGTGTATTAGTTCACGGAGTTGTCTACTGAATTCTGTTCGTTGTAGAATGATGAACCGATGTGTACGCCCATAGCCCGTTGAACGCACGCCATCCCGTCCGATCTGGCAAGTTAAGCAACGGTGCGCTTGATTAGTACTTGGATCGGAGACGTCCTTGGAATCTCAAGTGGCGTACGCCTTTTTTGATGATTTTTAAAATTTAAAATCATTTTGTAGGTATATAAGTGCTAACAAAGTTTAAAAATTTTAATTTTTACCCTTTTATTTTCTTCTTAGGTCAAGATCGGCCGCCTACTCTTAACTGTAGCACCAAGAATTAAAATACAACGCAAATGTTTTGCGTTGCTCTCTAAAATAAAAGGCTGTACTTTTTCTGTTTTTAATCAGTACTGTGTAAAATGAACATTTTATAGATGTGTAGTTTATCATTAGTAATTTGTCGTGTTCAAGAAATACGTGGAAGTACAGTAACGTAAAGAATATAAAAGTTTGGCAGGTATTGAAGTTTCTTCACTTTTATTCTATACTTTAAGTTAGGCGGGTTATTTTTGAGAAGAAGTAAAAATAAGACTTACAGTAAGAATTTGAGAACATTTTTTTAAATTTATCTATATTTTGAGAGGAAAAGCGTATTCTGCCTAGTATGCGGACACAGGACAGAGTGTCGGGCATTTTTTTCATTGGTTACAAGCTGTCAATCCTGTAGCTTACAGGACCGCGCATACCTTACACAGAGCATGTCTTTTTTCTTATAAATTCTCTTCCTGTAACGTTCCATCCTATGAAATTTAAAATTGCAAGTCTTACTGCAGTAATTACCGCGTATATTAACATATTTTTGTAAGTCTACAGAGTGCACTTACAAAAAAGTTAGAACTTGTTCATAACATAATTAACAGTGTGAAATTCAAAGTAAATTAGATTTGTTAGGCTAGTGCACTCTCAAGAAAAAACAGAATGACACATCATAGTCTTGTTTTTACTACAATATTGGTTGTTATTATTTTATTATCAAGATAAGAGATTCGTTTTTGGTCAGTAACGAGTTACATTACTGTTTGTTTTGATGTGTTACACAGTAATAAGCTTCTGTCTCTTGAGTAAAGGCTTATCACAAGCATTAAACTCTTCAAATTTATGTTTTTGGGTTGATAAAGTAAAGATTATTGTTAAAAATAGTAAAGACTTACCTGGGTTTGTATGTTAAAAGTAAAATTATTTTGGTTTATTTTTTTGCGAAAACTTTCTTTACAACGACGATTTCAGATAAATATGGAAAATGCAGACAAAGCAGTGTTATTTGATGTCATTTTTGAAGTTATTAGCGTCGTATCTTTCACAATGTCAATGTTAGTTGTGTATGTTACGATATGTTACTCACCTATTTGTATGAAGGACTACAGAAGGTTTATTGTGAACTTTACAGTAAGTTTTATAACTATTATAGTACCCTATTAACTCCTACCCTACCCTACCCTACCCTACCCTACGCTTTACTTTACTCTATCCTACCCATTTCCATACTAGTCTACCCTACTTTAACCTGTCCTTTACTAAACTACTGTACCTTATCTTACCTAGCTTCTTGGAAAGATGGTTATACTAACTGTAAGCAGTAATACTGAGTAAATTCCAGCTTTTCGACTTATTGTTTACATTTACCTTGGGAACGTTGGTTAAACCAGACACTATATTTCCGTTCCAAGGATGTTATATAAACGGGTGGTTACGGTACTTTGGTCATTACGGTGCTAACGTTGCTGTAAGTGCACGTTGTAGTGTTTTTTTTTTAAAATAATTTTTAAAATCAAAAAATTGACGTTTAAAATAATACTCTTGTTTCGTACTGTAATATCGTACTTTAAAATAGTACTTTTTATATAAAACTTCCTCATCCTCGTACTGTACTTTATATTTTAATTTATACTGTGCCGTACTATCTCATCTTCTACTGCACTGTACTGTCTTTTTATCACTGGACTTTGCAAACTACTAATTAGCTTCAACGATATATTATACGACTAAGAATGTTATTTCAGATTGTACTAATAATAATAAGCGGAAGTCTAGCCATAGCAATGCAAGCCATTTGTCTTGTGTACCGTTTTTCGGTACTACAAGGCAACCACAAAGCTATGGAGTTCATTTTGTCGTGGAAAACATGGACGGTAACCTATGTTTGTCTGGTTTGCAGTTACACTTTGGCCGCCGTTTTGGTGTTTTCGAAGATGAATCTGACTGAAGAAGTACAGGTTTTATACTTTTTGTAATGTAATTCACTAAAAAACATTTTTGGGTTTTGGAACAAAATGTCACAAAAAATATTGGAAAGTTTTTTTACGAAGTGCTACGAAAATTATTAAAAACTTTTTGATTTTGACGAAATGTTATAAAATATTAGTATTTTTCTTTCCAGTAATAAATATAATCACACTAATGCAAATAAAAAATTTTTTAACTTTTTTTTTAAGTTAATAACTTTTGAGCGAAATATCAAAAACTTTAATAATTGATTTTTAGACGAAATGCCACACAATGAAACAGAATAATTCCTAAATTTGTACTTTTTAAAAAAATTAATATTAGAGCTTATAGGAAATAAAACAAGAAATTACAAGATTAGCACCAGAACTAGATGCACCATTACCAGATTTTACCAAAGTAATCATGTACTTACCGCCTACAAATTCAGTGACGTTACAAGGTGGAATATTCATAATGGTTAACTTTTTAATCATGGAAATGGTATCATTAGTTTGTGTCATATTTCTGTTAAAAAAGCTCGAGAAAATGAAACAAGCCTTCTCTACTGTAACTTACAGGCTACATCGAGAGTTGACTGTGGCTTTGGGGATGCAGGTAGAGTAAAACTACTGTTTTATGTTTTTAATAAGTTTTTTTGATTTGTTCAATATCTTTAGGTTGTCCAAATTATTCTGAGTCTCAACTCAGATCAAATTTTCAAGGATAGGGGCACAGAATTAGTTGCAAAATCTGTTTAAATTTAGCTAGCTACTCCATTTGTCTTCATCGTATGCTCAGTGACATTTTGGATGTTATACAACTATCCTTACGGTTATATGAGCTACAGTACTTCTAGAACATTTATTTTATTCATACAGTTATATGGAACATCAAACGCCTTAATTACTCTGTATTTTGTACGACCATATAGGTTATTTGTATTTAACTTGTTTAGAGTCATCTTACATCAGATAACTTGTAATAGGATATCTGTTGGAACGCAATTACAAAGTAATGGTAAAATATTCAGCACTACTTTTCATTGATCTTGGTGAATAAACTTGTTTTATATTTAGTTTTGACATTTTTAATTAAACCTAAATTTTTTTATGAAAAACATAAAAAATTTTAGTTTTTTTTTAAATTTTATGCAAATTTGCTTACTTTACAGTAAGCAGCATATTTGTCACAAAACCGTTGTACCGTATAAAACATTTCCGCAGCCTGCAAAGCCCCGGCTGCAAACCGCACTCCAAAGATTTTGGAGAAATTATTTTCTTTTTTACTTTGGTTGACTCATTCAGCCAAATTCGACTCGTTTTGGTTAATATTGTAGTCGAATAGGAATATGGCTCCACCAGTGCCAGCTAAACCGCCAACTAAACATTGGAATCTGGGGGTTGGCCCAATTCTGACACATTCCTTCAATGGAGACAGATCTGGTAAGGTTATTTCGTTTGTTTTTCTTGTTTTAGAGGTCATTTTGAGACGATATAAAGCGAAGTCGAGGAAAATAGATGAAGTAAACTTTTGAGAAGTTGAAAATAGTACTACTTTCTCTTTTTCAGTTGTCGCCGTAGCCTCAGGAGCAACGATATATATCTTACAGTTGGACAAAGGTGAATGGACTGAAATTGCTCAAATCCATGATCATGAATTGCCTGTTGTATGCTTGGATTGGGCACCTAAATCTAACCGACTTGTCTCAGCTTCACACGACAAGAATTCTTTTGTTTTTACTTTGACTCCAGACAATAACTATCAGCAGGAAATGGTGTTAGTCAGGGCGTTACGAGGCCTAACCAGCTGTAAATGGTCTCCATTGGGTAAGATATTTGATTTTTTTGTTTCGACCTTTATATATTAAAATTATTAATACGTTAACACGCTAGAATACTGTTATTTAAAGACGAAACGTCACGTTTTATTTATGTTGTAGTACAATGTTTATTGTGACTTACTTTTTATTATAACTTTTTTCAAAGAATAGTTGTGAATTTGATTTTTCTTGAGGTTGTAGACCATTTACTTTATCAAATCAAAAAGTGTAAGAAGTTTTGAAATTTACTGTAACATACAGTACTTTTACCGTAACCTTAACTTTTTCTAATTTTTTCATGTTTATTTACAATGGAAGAACTATTTTGTCTTTTAAACTTTTTGTAGATGTATTTATTATACTTTGTGATTTCATGCGCAGTACTTATGTTGTTTTAGAGTAACATCTTAATATTTTAGAAAACAAATTTGCGATTGGAACACATTGTAAGACAGTAGCAGTTTGTTATTACGAAAAAGAGAATAACTGGTGGATCTCAAAGCATATCAAAAAGGATATGCAATCGACAGTAAAGTGCATTGACTGGCATCCAAATAACGTGCTTTTGGCTGTTGGCACTACGGATTTTAAGGTAATTGCAGGCTTTTTTGTCAACCTACTACATATAATATTGGTTGGTTTGAAATTATTGTTTATTTTCTTAGATTTGACAATTTACGTTAACAATCAACTTTTAGGTATTTGTCTTGTTAAGTTAATACAAGTCATTTTCTAGGTATTCGTTTTTTCCGGCTACTGTAAAGAAGTGGACGAGAAGCCAGAACCCAATCCGTGGGGATCGAAGCTGCCATTCGGAGTACTTTTGGCTGAATTCACAACTACTGGATGGATAAAATCAGTAGCTTTCTCACCCTCCGGCAATCAATTGGCATGGACTACACACGCATCTGAAGTATCAGTCGTGAACAAAGCTACCGGGGGTGCAGAGGCCAAACCACAAACTGCCAGACATTCCTTTTTGCCATTCAATCAGCTGATCTTCACTGACGAGCAAACTCTTATTGGCATTGTAAGTTCATTTTTAAAATTCTGGAGTATCGTACTGTATTTTTGTTTTTAAACTTTAAAAAATAACGGCAGAAACTTTCCCGGGAAGGATTTGATATATGAAGGTAGGGTCCTTAAGCCACTGCCATTTAATTAATACTAAAATCTATGGGAAGATGTCAATACTAGATGTGTTGGTCAAAATCCTTATCATGGATAATATCTCCACTTTTAGGGTCATGAATTCTCGCCGGTAAAGTTTACGATCGAAAATGGCAAACCGAAATGCGATAGGAAGATTGATATCCCATTGACGGAGAAGAGCGAATCCACGGCTTCTGCTTTCAAAATGTTCCGTGACATCGACAGAACGGCCGCGAGACAAACGGCTGATGAATCCGCACCAAAAACACTACATCAAAACACCGTTACGTAGGTTTTTTTTATATATTTTTGATATTATCATGGTATCTATCGGCCTCTTTTGTCGTTATTTTACTTTTTTAAACGAAAAAATTCATGGATTTTGTCTTGGTAAGGTTTAGATTAGATCCAAACAAAGCTTTTGGAAAATTAGAGCTACGGTCGAAACGCTGTACTTCTGAGAGCAATATAAGATTTTCGGATGTTGTAGAACCTAGAGTAAAGCTTTTTAATGCCATTTTTGTCATGTTCACTATGTTATGTTCCAACCTTTTCAGGAGTCTCCGACCCTACGCAGTTGGCCCCAAAGGAATAACGAAATTCACCACAGTAGGCCTAGATGGTCAACTTGTTCTATGGGACTTAAAAGTAAGTTTGATACCTAAAATGAGACGAATACCTTTAGGCTTGTATCGCATTTGTAAACCCAGGACAAGAGTTAATAGAAACGGTAAAATAAAGTGAGAACCTAACTTTTGGTGCGGTCTTAATCAAATTGCGGTTTAGATTTATGTTACTTTTCGAACTAAAAATTAGGTTTTTAATTAAAAAAAATTTAAATTATGTTTTTTGTGTGAAGAGTCCTTTTAATAACATATCTGTAGTAAGATACCATAACCTAACTTTACTACACCAATGTCGATGTCAATATTGATGTGAATGTTTATAACTTAACAAAAATCATTTTCATCTGCCATTACTTATCATACCCTCATTTCAGGACTAGACTATCGGTAATTATTCGGACAAGTGACCTTGAAGTATTTACAATGTTTTAATGTATCTAATTTATTTCGGTTTTCATAAGTTTGGTCTACCATAGTTTTGTAACATTTACTGTAATAAATGTTTATTTAATTTTATATTATCGGCTTTGGACATTGTCTTTTAGCATAATTTTGAGCTTTCATTTTACCCATGTAAAATGTTTTACAGTACTGTTTATTTGTAGACTAAATATGCTTTTACATTATGTTTTACTCAGTAAAAATTCAGTTTATAGATTGATTATACAGTAAATTACAGATATACGAAGACGGAAATTGTAAAATATACAGATACAAAACAAGTTTTTCACAATAATACATGAGATACAGTAAAAACTTCACTATGAAGGCGTACTAGTTAAAAAAATATATCACTAGTACTGAAAGTAGCCGTAAATGTACTAGTGGTACTAATAGACGACAAAAAACTACTCGTATTACTAAAAACGGCCGTATATGTACTAGTAGTAACAAAAAACATACTAAAAGTAATAAAGACAATAAAAATACACCAACAGTGCTACTACTATAAAATCGTACCAGTAGCACCATAATTAAAGCCAATAGTATACCAAATATCTCGCGCGCCGTGCACAGTCCACTAAGGTATTCTAATGAATGACCAAATTGTCGTGTTGATCCATGCCATACTTGCTCTTGTGCTCGTTGAACAACTTTGTCAGCTCTCGAACATACTTTTGGTGCAACTCGTTGATCTGTTCATGAGTTGGTTCCTCAACCTTCTCCACTTGAATTGGAGCACCAACTACCGTAGTTATTGGCTTTCGGAATGGCAGAAGACCAAAAGATTTGTAGAGTAATCCACGACCATGGAATAGAGGAGGACAAAAGCCACAAACCTTCTTGATTAGGGTCTGAAAATAGGAGATATAAAATTTCACACTACCACCGACTTACTTGAACCTGTCTCAAATTGGTGCCACGTTCATTGTCCGACTGAATGAACACATCATTTTCACCGAATGAGTACGATGGTACCAATGCAGCTCCGTATTTCAAGGCATATTTGCAGAATCCTCGACGATGACTCAAGTTCAGATGGTGTTTCCCATCGTGCGCGTCCAAAGCTTCCTCAGCTCCGCCAACAACAATTCCAATGCATCGACCGATAGATTGGGAAGACAAAAGATAGTCCAAACTTCGGCGAGAACTTTCACAACCTCCTGAAAGATTAACTTTATATTATTATGCCAAATTACTTCGATTATAGTTAGATTTAAAATATCTCAACAAAACTTAAAGTATGAAAAGGCAACTCAGCAATTGTCGTATTTTACAATAGTCTACAGTGACGCTCAAAAAAACGTATATTAACATAAATTGATATATGACCTACCCAGTAAAAGGCCAAATTCACGTCGGAACGGGAAGTAGAATTGACCAGTCAATGTCAAAATGTTGCTTGTGAGACCAGGAAACTTCTCCATGAATCCAGTTCCATTCGTACACAAATGGGTAAAAGCTCCAACACTCAATACTCCGTGGGGATGGCACCTACAACAATATCATAATAATATACCCAAGATTATAAAAAAAATTTTAAATGTGTTTGCTTTTTAATTTTTGAAAGCTTCTTCAGCCGATATTCGATAAAATAAATTGTCAAATCCCATACCAATTTTCATGTTTATAACAGCAAGTTAAAAAAATTTATGACCAAAACAAATTATGCTCATCTTCTAACCTACCTTAAGATAATAAATCATGTTTTTAATAAAAATAAATAATCAAAATAAAGAAATCCCTTTACAATATACTTACCCTAGTATGTAGTTCTTGTTCGGAGGCAATTCAGCTGTCTTCACTAACGTAATCGGGAAATAATCCGCGAAATGTTTCCAGATTCTCGATTCTCTCAATGCACACTAAAACAACATCTTTAAAGACTTCAAAGCCAACGTTATAATATAAATATACACCCCAGTACCTCTCCAATAAACTCACACAATTCCTCGATCCTTTAGCCGGAGTATCAAAGTCGATGTAGTACCAAACAGCATAAGCACACATCAGAAACCAGAATCTCGTGAATAACAAGTAGAACGGCAGCCAAAGTGACACCAATGGCAAGATGATCCATAAGGTAATGTGAAACATAACAGCACATAATTGCTTGGCCTCGTCCAGTCTTCCCGCCATGGCTAAATGAGTATAAATGAACGGTTGATAAGAGCGGTAAACGAACAATAATCATTATCAAAGCAAATATGATAACGTTACACAATTTAGTTGATAAAACATGAGTTTAATGATAAAATTATCGGCTTATTTACTGATAACCAAACAAGGTAAACAAGTAAAAACAAATTTCAAAATTATGTTCAAAATATGTCATAATGACAACTTTTATGTACAATCATTGTTGCTCCAAATGTCTTCCATCACGAAAACGTTTAGTTGCCAAAAGATCTTGGCATTCCGTATTACTTATAAAAATATTTTATTTTTGACGAATTTTGGATAAATAAACAAATCCAGATAAAAATCAATGCGAATTCAGTACCCTGTACGTATTCCAACAAAGAAGAAGTTTATTTTCATCGACGAGATCTGTGGAGGCACTAAAGCTGATGTTTCATATGATGTTTTTATTCCAACAGCTACACTCTACGACTTTTCGTCGTTGTTCGGACATTTTGTAGTAGAAACCAAGCTTCCTGAGATCTTTTATGCAAGTTAGTTCTTTTTCTTTGTTTTTTTTAGTTTTAGTTGAATTGTACCTGTAAAGTTATAACGCTAAATGACGTTACAGATGCCAAGAAACAGTTGAAAGAGTTTGTGTTGATCGAAACCCAAAAATATGAAGATGAGTTGGCAGATGCGGCTGTATTGGACTTCCTACAAGGAGATTATGCTAATGATTTTGATTATGAGACCAAATTTCAAATGAATTGTGGGATTAATGCCAATTTTATATTAACCTTTGATGAGACCTTCAATGAACTTATGAATAATGGCAAAACAGAAGAATTACTAAAGCTAATACGTCTTGAATCAAAGATGACTGAAAATATGAACAAACTGTTGAGTCAGAGAGATCAGGAGCTTCATAAGTTGAGGTTGGAATGTGAAGCAGCTGTGGAGAAGACAAAAGAGGCATCTGATCTTGAGGAACATTCGTATAACTTGTCGGTTTTGAATGAAAAGCTTCGGGTATGTTAGATTTTCTCTTTTTAATATTGTTTTATTATATTTTAAGTAAAGAACTTCGTTTTTTGCCCTTTTTTGCTTAACACTTGTGTTTTACCTAAATTCGCTTATCTTTTCAGAACACCAACTCCAATTTCTGTAACCAACTAAAGTCCCTAACAGAGCGTCAGCGATCAGAATATGCGAACGTTGTATCAATACTTCAAAACAACGGAGTATTCCCTGATGAAAAGCTTGCTTCCCACAGTGATCTGTCTACACCTTCTTCATATACACCTATCGAGCCCGTTTTGGACGAGAGTTTCACAATTTACATTGGAAATCAGTTGAAGTCAATGCACAATGCCAGACTATTACAATACCGTAGTTTGGGCGAGTTTTGTCACGATGATACGGTGGATGCTATGGAGAGATCAGTTTATGAATCAAGTCGATTGAACTCATTGATATCGTTATATAGAAGGGACTTGAAAGCTGCGATTATATTGGTGGAACGAGACCCTTTATATCATCTACATGCGAGGACAGAGTTCTACAAATTGTGCGAGAAGTCAGTGGAATTACACTTTGATCCGATTGATGTTCAGTTGAGGAAGATTGCTGATAGGGTGGTTTCTTTGGCAATATTTTTTAAAATTTTACTTTGAAAAAATATTTAAGCTAAATACCTATAACAATATAAAATCAAAATTTGAGTCTCAAAAGCTATATCTTGCTCACTTTCCAGGTACCTCTAATGAACCAATCACAACGAGCTTCCCACTCTAATCAGCGATGTTTTGAGTCAACAGAACCTCGTTGTCCTGACGATTACGAGTTCTTCAGACCTGGAGATGTATATGTGACTACTCATTCGAATTTGAGTAATGTTCAAGTCGTATTTCATCTGGTCACGGATCAACATTGGGATAAGGTTGACCTAACCTCACGGCATCCATATATTAATGGATTGGGGAATTGTATTCGAATGGCATCCAAGAACGCTGTTGGAACGATGACTTTTCCATTGTTTTTGAACAAAAATGTGCCAAAGGTAAGGTTGTTTGACTTTCCTCTTAAAGAGACATATTAATATCTGGCTTTGTTGAGAAAAATTTAATATTTTTTTTGTAAAGTAAATAAGATCAATTTTACGGCTATATCTACTAGAAAATATTTTAATTACCTTACTAAACCATTTTCAGGACCAACCCCTTCCCTATTACCAAAGTCGAGCTGATTTGATCTTCAAATGTCTAAAAGGTCTGTTAATTGAGGTTTGTTCAACAGGAGCTTCCAATTCGAATTGTGCTGCCTTTAATCAACACTCTGTGCATTATAACATAAACTTTGGCATCCCAGAATATTTGGGACAAAAAGTTTTTGAAACAATTTCTGATGTATTGCTACAAGTCTTTCATCTCGTTCCTACGGTTAATGTCACCGATGAGATGTTCTAGGCTTGTTTTGAGCTTCTTAGGCCTGGTTTAGGTTTATTTCGAGTTTCTTATGATCTGGTTGAAGTTTATTTTGAAAGATTTTAGGGCATAATTACTTATTCTGGACATATTTCGTTAAAAGTAATCTGTTTTGATTCTTATAACTGTATGAATGTACGCATAATGTGATTTTCTTACAGTAATGTATGCATAATGCTGTAAAATATGGATAATATAGTAAAATAAGGAGTATTTTACATTCAAAACGTTTTTTATGGTTTCTTAACTGTGATAATAACTAAAGCTCGCATAATCTTATTATGATACACTATATTCCTATATCTATACCCATAAGAATTCTATTTAATTTCTAATTATGTTGTTATTGTATTCAATTTAATTTATTTATTTATTATAAATTTATAATAAAGTCTACCCCCAAATAATCAAAATCAATTTATTTAAAAAACCAAAATGAACAAATAAGTTATAACTTTAAAAAGCGATCAAAAAGGATCCAAATTGACATACATTTATATACTATATACACCCGTTTTGTCTTGTCAACTGATTCTATTCGTCCTAAACTAGTTGACTCCTCAACTGTTGAGCGATTCGTGGCACCATGTTCGTGTAGTTCATGCCGTTGATCTTGCGGAATTCGGGGCACGCCTCCAGGAAGACTTTGGCTGCCATGTATGAAAGCGGGGGTGGGCCAATGTGGAAAGCGACAGTGTCGTCCACACGTTTGGTGGCGAGTTCGGCACAGCCGCCGAAGGAGATGATTTGATTCAGCTAAAATGTATTGTTATAGAGAATTCTTCAAAATACTGAATTTTTGATTACAGATTGAAAAATCATTACTACGGTTTTTTAAATTACGATACGCGATCGGCAATAACCAAATAATTCATTACAATTCTGTACGAAAAATCCATATATAAAGTAAAACACTTACGCTATTAACAGCCGCAGAATGGAAGAAAACTCCACTTGGCAGTTCAAAAGGAGACTTTTGCCATTTCAAAGTCCTCAAGTCTAAACACCAGACGTCTTTCATCAAGAGACCTTCACTGTTCTCAACATCTGGAGGATTGTATCCGCCGAAAAGAATGGCAAAGTTGCCGGCCTGAACAACAGAATGACCTTTTCTGGACCTTGGGTACCTCCAAACCGCATCTGGCTGAGTGTGAACAAGATGAAAGGTTTTTGTTTTTACATTGAAGGCGTCAAGCTGAAAATGAGCAATCATAACATACTAAACTTGACAATAAACATCAATCAACGCTATATTTGAACAAACTGTTAAAAGAAACTTAAAGGATAGTTGGCTTTAATTTCATCCTTAACTACCTTTATATTGACCTTAACTAATAAAAACGACACTTTTCAGTAAAACTTTACTTTTTTTGCTAAATACAGTAGCTACTGCGGCAAAAAACATAAAACGTTTCAAAGTACCTACATCTCTCATGTGGACCGATACAATTTGGTTTGATCCTCCAATTGAAATGATTTCATCTCCAACCATGACACTTTCATGTCGATATCTTCCCATCGGCTCTTGTTTTTCATCACTCAGAGTTTCGAATCTGGCATGCTCTTTGAATACAGTAAGCCTGGTGACCCTCATATCGTACTGTACTCCTTCTGTTCCTCCAAGAAGGTATAATTCCTAAACGAATGTTACAGTATATTTTCTGCAGGATGCTTTGTAAAAATCTTTACAAAAAAAGATTCAGATTACACCGCCGGTAATGCCATTAACTTGACATCTTAGCATTGTAAAACATATAAAAGCCTACAATACCCAAGTTTTAAAGACTTACAGCGATATCATTGTAGATATGTCTGTGTACAGCTGAATGCCCATAAACTCGTGGAGCTTCTCTTGGGTTATCAATAGGAATCTTCCTTACTGTACATTCTTCTGGGCTAATTAATGTGCAAGCATACAAGTTGGTTGAGATCGCTTCACCAAAAGGAAATCCTGTACCTCCATACAAATAAAACGTTGCTTGTTCTTCCACGTAGCTCACTATAACATTTTTATTAGTAAAGCAATTCTTTAGTAAAAAGAAAAGCAAAAACACAGTATTGCAGGTCGTCTACATGAATTAAAACAGTATTCTTCCAAATTTCACGTACTATAGTGCCTACTACAACACTTTGGGTAACACCCAGTTTTTAAACTAAAATCTCAAGCCCAACCCTGAAGTCAAACCAAAAACATACGTGAGAACGAAGCCAAAGTTTTGGGAAGTTCACAATCCGTTTTGACCTTCTTCCATCGTTTTGTTAGTAAGTTTAGACACCAAACGTCATTCATCATTTTGCCAATAAACTTGGGGTTATATCCTCCAACCACATAGAAGTGGTCTCCAGTGCAGAAACAGCGATGTCCTGAACGAGCTGGAGGCGCTGAAATCATTTCAATGATGTTTTATTCCAGAGAACAGAATATTTAAGCATCTTTAACATTACTGTTACTGAATCTATCATTAAAAACGCTCAAAATAAAAAAAAATTGTAATAGTCAACACAATGTTGCTATCCCTCTTTTAGGAATAGTACAAACTTTCAATCAAACATTTATGTACCTAAAAACCAAAAAACAAGTAAATAACCTTACATTTGCCAATTTCTCCCTCTTGAAGGCTGTAATTGTCGACTAGAAGCTCGGGTTTCGATAATGTATACATGTCGGCCTAAAAATGCAAGTATTAACTTTTAATTGTCAAACGAATGTCCAGCTTTCTTGAGCAAGCAAACACTCAGGTTATAAAATATTTTAAAAACCTTTCAGCCTATTCATAAGCTAAAGTAATAAAAACAAAATATTAAACAAAAGAAAACAAAAAAGCCATTATCTGAGACAAACTAGCTAAATTTATCTCTTCAAAATCCACACATTCCAAACTTTTATAAAAAGATTTTCTTCCTAGATCTAATAAAAACCTAAAATGAAATAGAAACCAAGCCTTTTATCGAAAAAATTTTGTGATTTACTTTCTTAATAAAAAGTCTTAAAAAGACAATTTACAAATAATTTTTAATTGTAAACAAAATGTCAATTTTGCAAATGAATCCGAATTCTCTTCGAAAGCGGAAAATCAAATGAATTGAGACAAAAACTTTTTTTGTTCCGGAAAAAGTCAAACACAACTGTTTCACGTCTCAAAAAACTGCTCACAACAAAACGAACATCTCAAAAAAGTTGATATATTACGAACGGGTTTTCGGATATTAAAAAACGTTCGTTTTTAGAATAGTATATGTGTATCACATGGTTTTCGTTATAACTTTTTGCTGAATATAGATAGAAACTTCGAAATGCTTGAGATTTTAGGTTGTTCATTTCGTAAAGTCATAAAGTCAAAAAAGGTTTTTAATTTAAAAAAATCTAAACTACAAGGCATATTCCGCGACTATACCTTCAACATGTTGAACGTTTTCCGAAAAACCGAACGTAACTTAAAAATAATTGTAAATTTAAAAAATTGTTGTGCTTTGTTTGCTAAAACAATCAATAATCTACAATGGCTCAAGATTTCAAATTTCTAACTATATGTTGAAAAAAGTTATAATAAAAACCATCTTGTAACCTAGTTCTGCCTTCATATTTTGCTCAAAACCTCTAAAATTACACAAAAACTGAGCAAAAAACTAAATCAAAACATTCTGCTAAAAATGTGATACAATATCCTCTAAATTTATACAAGCAAAAGTCACATATAAAACCGACTTCTAATCCGACTTTTGCGGAATTTGTAGTTTTATAAGCCACGTAAGATATTCCGAAAAAATATATTGTAATTCGAAAAGCCATTATAATACCATTTCAAATTCCGCACAAAGTCTTACAAAACCAAACCATAAACTCAAAAAACACAGACCACAAATATCTAGCTAAAAATTAATTTAAAACTTAATAAATCCGTTAAGTCAATCGATATCTACGAAAATTAAAGATATCATCTGGATTTTCTCAAAGTTCATTCTCGAAACGTTCAAAACCTCTCGAAATTAGTCACAAAACCTCGGAAAGATAACGTTTTCCACGTTTATCACACTTGAAACCACCACATACGTTGGGGAGGCGTTTTTTCGGCCGATTCCATACCTGTGAAAAGCAGCTGAACGCTGAAACCATGTTTCGTCGACCTGTAAATCCTTGGGTGAGAAAAGCGTAGAGTTGGCGGAGGACGTGCGCCGCCCACGACAACAAGAAAAATGGCCAAATTTTTAATAAAGTAGACAAAATCGAGGCGGATTCTGTGTTTGGTCCGAATAAGAGAATTATTTTTTTCGGGCGAAAAAGCGTTGGTGACACTTCGTCTTTTCGCGTGACACTTCGTTAGAGAAGAAGGGAATTTGATATAACTTTTGTTGGGTTACGAAATGCGGTGAGTTAGACGATGGGAATGAGTCATAAAAACGAAATAAATATTTTACAGTGAAAATAAAAAAATAAAGTTTAAAAATGATCTTAATTTAATATCCATAAAAAATTTTTAAAAAATATTTTTCTTTCAAGCAATGACTTTAAATTTCTTTAAAATTTTCAAATCAAATGAGTAACAAGCAAAAAATATTTATAAAATGGTAAAGAATACAAAATTTTGACCAAACTTGGACGCTACTTTTTGATAAATCAGAAATGATATTATACATCATATCTGATAAAAAGAAGGAAATATGAGCAGGTAAACAAGATAGTAAGCACAAGATCACATTTCCAGGAGCATAAAACATCAACCTTCAACAATATAGCTTTTGTAAACAAAAAGTCAAGAATGTATGTTCAAAATGTCGTAAACTATTAAAATGATCGTATAAGATCTCAAAATTCACCTTAATATCGAAAAGTTATAAAACATGTATAATATATAATAGTACGTCAGAAAAGTACAAAAAATAAACTAGTAATGCATGGTTTGCAGCAATGTTTTCCCTATATGTGGGTCACGTTTAGTGGGCAGTAAACACTTTTACTACTTTGTGTACGAATGGTATAATTAAATTTGCTCTTTTACAGAAATTAAGAGCTCTTCCGTATCATTTGGTGTTAATTATCTAAAGGTTAACTATTCTGTTTTTAAAAATTAGTTTCTTTTAATGCGTAAATTAAAATATTTAACGTCAAAGGAAAAATATTTGCCGTCACAGTAAAAATATCAAACGTTACTGTAGCAGACTTATTCGAAAAATGGTTCTTCAATAAATAAGTTTTTACTAGTCAAGTCAATACTTTTTAACGTTTTACAACGCTACATAAACATCCTAAACCAATAAAAACAGAAGATAAAGTAGCAGCTTAACAAACTTTGTAGCATAAAATTATGTCTTAAAAAATGACATAACAATAAGTCAGCTCCCACTCCTTTATTTTTGACTTTATTTTTGGAGCGATCAAGCAAGAAGTACTTTAGCAGAAGTAATCTGTTTTGCGATTTGTGGAATCGCCGTTCTGACGACGACAATTGTGGAAGAAACCGGTCTTTCAAAACTCACATGCCATACATCTTTACAACCGAATGATTGCGCAACCTGTTTCAATTTATTGTACTTTTGGTAAGAACGGTTACGGATATCCACTGATCTTTGATAAACCATAAGTCATATTGATAAGCCTATAACACAAAAGCTGACAAGTTTTCTAAAAAGTGACATATTATTTTTAAAATTTGGTAAACAAACAAAGCTTAGAATTAAAAATTAAACTTACCAACAACTTACTAAATGTCGACGCTTCACTATTTCATGATTGGTGGGTTAAACTTGCATACGCCAAGATTAAATTGCAAAACTCGGCCGATGCGCCTTATAACACACCATGATACATACACTATGTTGACACAGCTGCTTTTACTTTCACTTTTTAAAAAGTACATTTGAACTAGATCTAACAGTATTTTAATTATTAACAAGTAGTTGCCATTTTAAACTTTTACAGTAATTTCTTTGTGCCTATTCTTTGTCATGTCTTACCTCCACTTGCCTTTTCTTACCTGCGCACTTTACGAAATGCTTAAATAAACTAATCTAGCCCAATAAATCTTGTTTACTGTGGTATTTGAAATCTTGAAATTAGGCAAGGTCACTCACTTCCTCACGTTGTTGTTTGAACGTTCTTCCAAAACGTTCCTCGATTATACTTTTTTACCTTTTTTAAAATTACTTGTGGACTCTTTGGAAAAGTTACCATGGTAATAGGAATAAATATAAGATGCGTAATTACTAGATTTACCGGATTAGCGATACTCGAAACAAAAATACGTCAAAATTTTTACTAAGGTATTAGATGGTTTATGAGGGTAGTGTAGGTTTTTAGTATTTGGTTTTTTAGCTTACTGTGGTGATAGAGGTTCATTATTGACATTTCCGTTTATACTGTTAGAGGAAATGTGTATTTACATAAAAAAAAACTTACAGGTTGAAAAATAAAATTTTATATCAAATGATCAGCATGTATAATATGATGAGAAAAATTAATTTTAGTTTTCAAAATGTAGTGAATATACTGCTAAATCATCAAAAATTTCTAGTTTAAATTAAAAAATGTACATTTTCTCTAGATACTATAACATTTAAGACAGTGATTCAGAAGGTGTTTAAGTCATCGTACGTTCTTATATAAGGCTGATTTCATTTCTTTTTGTATTTTTTCCTGAAATTACAATTAATGTATTGTTTTTTGTTGTTTCATTATTAAAATATGGATATATATGTCATTTTATTAACTTGTCGAACTCATCTGTTTACTTTATATAGTTATGTATAAATAAATGATCAAATTAAAGTGGATTTGTTAAGGTATAATACGGTAGAAAAGATGTGTATATCACATCTTGGCCAAATTATTTATGGATCGATTGCTGTCGTCATTCTCGCATCATTCTGTACAGCTATTGTACTTGATGATTGGGTAGAATATAGAGGTGATAGATTTGGATACACAACTGAGTGCTCAAAGATTGACAGTGATTATTGTGGCATATGGAAAGTAGTATGTTAATCTTTATAAAAACTAATGTTCTATACTATCTATTTATACTTATGCACAGTTTTTATTTTTATGATACAAAGAACCAAAAAAGGTTAGTACTGATGCAAGTATAACAAGTATAATGACTTCAAAGAGTTGACGTTTTGATGTCTTAAATGACAATGCTTTCAGGTGACAGAAAAAATCAGAGGTTACGTACTAGTGCTCCTCGGCCTTACGGTAGCCATTAAAGTTGGGGCAGTTATCTACAACTTCACTACATTCTTCTGTATCTGTTGCCGATCTTTCTTTTTGTTACCTTTGGTGGCTTTGGGGTTAGCTAGCGTTTTGACAGCGGGGCCTTTAGTCTACTTGACTCACAGTGACTTTATGCAAGCTCGTAAGTTAAGTTTTGATTATAATCGGTTGTTTCAAAAAGAATGGCCGTTTTGGCGGACAAATCAAGGTTAAAACCGGTCATTCTTTTTAGAACAACCTAATAAATTATAGAAATGTAATTAGAAGTCTGTAAATTACTTTACAGAACGAACCTTTTCTCCTGAGGATACCGAGTACGGTAAGAGTTTTTACATTGCTGGCGGTGGCTTGATTTTGGCTGTTATCAACCTTATTGTTAGTGTTGCTACCCTTCGATCAACTTAATAATATGCATACTGGTATAAACATATCTTACGTTTAATAAATTTGTTCATAAAACAAGTTTAGTAAAAAAAAACTAAAGTATTAGGTTGTTCACATAATTCTGTGCTATTGGCACAATACTTATATACATTACGTATCTTTGAACTCAAATTGAAGAAAATATATGTATATATTATATATATATAAATTGAAGGAGTTGTGCAGCATGTGACAAAACAAGATACAATTGATAGCATATGATATAAAAATGTATTTAATTTTAACAACGTACATTTGTTTAAAAATACTTACTGTGATACTACGTATGCTATACATTGCCATACTTATGAATGGTAATATTTTAGGTAAGACATTTTATAAAGCAATTGTATAAGGTAATCTTGTCGTATTAAACGTATATTTTAAATACTTTGTATGACTTGCACTTTGCGCATTATATGTTACTTTAATTGTAAGATATATAGGACAAAAGATTACGTTTAACATATAATATACTATGTGTTTTGTTTTTTAATGTCATAACTATTCTTTTTTGATTTGCTGGCTTTAGTTCTGTTTTTGGTACTGTACTGTACTGTAAATTTTTGTTTCTTATTATAATTTTACGACATTTTAGTAGGGATTGACACGGAATGTTAATCAGCGAAAAGTTTTAAGAGAAATGGCGGCAAATGTCAAGTTTTAAAAAAAAGTTACAGTGTCTCTATTTTGAAGTGATTTTATATTACTCTTATAAAAAGGATGCTGCTACAGACATATCTGGGTGGAGGATGGAGGAAGACCCGTAGAACGTTTTCAGATCGACTAAGGGCTTGTCATTGCTAGTCCACTGTAAGAAAAACTTTGTCATTGCTATTTCACTCTACTACAACAAAAACGAAATACGACTCATTTTACTGCGAATTACGACCCACGTGCTGTAGTAAAATGAATGTTTTTGAAATGCCGTATCTCTGTTTTTTGTTCGGAGAGCCCTTACATTTTTCCAATTAGTCCTATTTCCCGCTTGTTCTATTTTATGGGGGTGGTGTGGCCGAGCAGAGGATCCACGTAAATATTTTTAATTTTGCGTAGCTAGTGGGACGCATAAAATAATAAACCTTGCTTTTTGGAGGGTGTTTTATGTTTTCCTTTTATGAGATTTTGTATATTTTTTGCTTTTTTAAAAATTTTAAATAATTTTTTATGTTATAATTTTTGGCTTGGGGTAATAACATTAAATCAAACATGGAAAGTACCCGACATGCCCCGCTCTGATGGACTTCATACTTTTTACATAGAAAGTTCATGTAAATATAAGATTTTCAGCAAATTACTAAACCGCGCTTTCCAGTCAATCTCGAGAAAATCAAGATCAAAAAATTACGTCTTAAGTTTCCCGCTAAATTGGCATTGTGTTTCAAGCTTATATCTTTGTCGCATTTAGACTTTTAATCATTTTTCTTTGATATACTATTAGAAAACCTTTAAATAAAGCTACATTTTTTAATTTGTAAGTGTATTTTGTCTCTAAAGTCGGAAAAAGTGCTTGGAACACAATGCTAAATTTTGGCGGGAAATTTAAATATTTCAAATTTGAAACTCAAAAGCGCGAGTTAAACTTATTATGGGTACTATAAGTAGTACAAAGATTTTTTATAAATTGTTTGAGCTGATTCCGAGTGGGGCAGGTTGGGTACTTTCCTTGTATAATATAATAGGAAGGAGGGGTAGGAGGTAATTTTTTAAGGTGGGAATTTTAAATGAGTTTTTAGGCGTTATCTATATCATATAGGGTTGTTCAAATAGTTCTGGGCTTCCTCTCAAAGCAAAATTTTAGGATTAAGAGGCACAGAATTATTTGAACAATTTACTACGTAAAATTTTTAAAAAATTTAAAGACTTTGGCTAAATTTTTTTTAATTTCAAAACAAATTTCGAAGAATTTCACTTTGTTTCATCCTTTACTCGAGTACAGTACAAATAAAGTGCTGGCGACAGACAAAACTCATTTCCGGAAAGTAGTCCAAGCGTTTCTAAAAGCGGTTTCCTTATGATGGATGACTTTTGGCTAGTTGTAGTAGGTCGTTTCGGTCTTCATATACCAAACTTAATTATATTTGTTTATTCCCAAGAAATATCTGATTTGAAAAGTGGCTTCTGACGATGAAAATCTCGTCAGAAGCCTTAGACTTTTAATCATTTTTTGTGTTTGGTTTTGAACGTCTTGGTCTTTTTGGCTAGCTGTTTTGAGGATGATGACAAAATTAGGATATCTTAATGTTTTTTGCCTTTTGGTTGATATAGATTATGATATTTTACAGTTTACTGTAGTATAACACATTTTTTATGTAACATAATATCTTTTTGTCATCTTCTTCCTGCAGAACCTCAAAAAATATAAAACAAAACAGTCCATCTCCCCAAAAAACCTAGCCAAACTCCACAAACAATGTCTTCATCGTACACTTCCCTCCATGATAACGCTGCATCGTATGTTGACAGAACTCGAAAAGCTAGTATAACTAAACAATACACACCGCGCTTAAAAATGCATTCAATTTTACTTATTCCGGGTGCCAAAATATCCTCCCTTTCTCTCGGGATTCTTTCATAAAATAGGTATACCATCATCTATTGTTACCGTGGGAAGAAGACGCTGAAACTCGCAAATAGAGAAGAAGAAATCACCGGATTAGTGAGGGCTGTTTTACTTTATTTTACAATTTTTTGGGTCGTATTGTTTTATCTTGCTGTATTTTTTGGAAGAAGGGAGGGGGGGGCAGTTGAGATTCTTCGGAGGAAGAAGGGGGTAGTGGGTGGGTAGTGTAGTTATTTTTTGAATATATTGTAAAGCTGTATTATAGTGAACTTTAAGGAGTAGTTCACAAAAAGCCGGGCGATTCATTTTGGTTGTAGAAGAGGTGAAAAATAAGAAAAAAAGTTGTTGCCTACGGGTGAAAAACCTTACTTTTTCAAAGTTGAAAGAGTAGGGAAGGTGGGGGTACAAAAGATATGATAGAGAAGGGGAAGGGCCAGGTAAGGCTTTAATTTTGCAAAACTGCTGCAATAACTTTTCTTTACAAACCATATTCACCTATATTTAGCCTACATTTTGAGTATTATAGATTGTAGCGCTACCTACATCTCTTGTTTGGTTCGCTTTACATTATATTTCTTAACTTTAGCTACTACAATTTTAAAATGAACTTCTTAACTTTAGTTACAAGTTTTTATAATAAGCAATATTATTTTTGATACTGTACAAGGTATGATTAGGATACGATTTTTCTACGAAAATTTTCAATATTACAGCCATAATGAGAATGTATACAGCCAAAAGTACCCTCGATCCTCAAAAAATGTTTTTTTAATTGAAAATGGCTATGTAATTTACCTTCTTTTGTTGATTTTTTATATCACAAGCTAGTAATTAAAATTTAAAAAAATGTTTTTCTGGCCAGTATAACCAGCCCGATACTTTAATAAACAATTTTTACAGAGTGCGCCACAAGTTCTGTTACACGTATTTTAATCAAATATTTATTATAGTATGATGCAATCTCTCAGTACCGCAAAACTACAATTTTAACTAATGGGTAGGATACAACTTTTACTATAGGAGAGAGATAGATTACTATAGGAACACAATCATTTTTAGCATAAAAAAACTACAATTTAAAGCCGCAGTAACTTGCCACCCCTCCAACCCCTCCTCGAAACTAATAAAGCCTCCTTAAAACACAAGAAAAGATACGTTAACATATCTCGGGAGGATGCACTTGAAAACTCGTACTGAAAGTAATATTTGCCTCGGGTGGGCGAAAGAACGTGCTGCCGGAGGCAGTGGACGAAAGCGGGAGAGCGGGCCAGCCATCTCGAAGGCTTTTCTTTTTCTTCTCCTTATAAAGCCTCCGGGTTTTATTGTTTATAACGCCGGCCAACAAAATGCTGTTTTGAATTTTCGCGCGAGATTATGTGATTGTCGCGTCGACATTGACATATTACCCAAGTTGCGGGCACTTTGGGTTGTCAGCGGGTTAAGGTTAGGTTGTCAACTAGTTGTGGAGGGGTTTGAGGGAGGATTTGGCATGGAAAATTAAATTTTAAAGTTTTTTTTGAGGAAAGTTAAGTGGGAAATAAGTGAAAATGATTTTTAAGAAAGGTAAGGTTTTAGGTAAAGCAAGGGGAGAAAGTTGGGTCGTTGGGAAAGGCAAGAAATGGGGATATTAAGGTAGGTTTAGCAAGGAATATCTCAAAAAAAAATAAATTTTTAAGCAAATTTAAAAATTTTTTAAAACAATTTACAATTCCACTCAAAATGACATACCAAAACCGCATTTTCAACCTCAAGGCTTTTTAATCCAAATGTTTTAAAAAACCCTTTGAAATTCGAAATTCTCTGGGTTAGATTAGAATATAATAAAGTTAATGCACAGTGAGCATCGAGAGTCTCGGACAAGACAAAAAAAGTAATTTAATTAGGATTAGAATGTTTGGCGTCGAAAAGTGAGTCCTCGCCTCTAATCGCTCCATTTTTTGGGACTTTTTCATGTCCAAAAAGTTTGCCAAAAGTCATTTTTGGCCAGCGGTATTATACGTTTTTGCATTGCGCAACACTTTCCATTAACCTGATATTAAGTTTGGGCTTCTGGAGGCATGGCCTATTAGAAGGTTGGCGTTTTTAAAGTTTGGGGTACTGGGAATTTAGTATTCTGAATGTAGTTTCACTGAAAGTTTGGGCTTAGAAAAGAGCATGTTTTTTATGGGTCAGGGGCACAGAATTATTTGAATAACTTAATAGTACTGTGTAAAGTTTTTTACGCTGTATTTTACTTTACAATGTCATTTTACGCGACTAGCATCGTTTTTCGAGGAATTATATTATTTATTATAACATACATATACCTACTATAACATCCTTCCAATTGATTTTCAGCTGCCTTTACTTACCTCACTACTCTCAGCCATATACCCAAAGCCAACAGCCATATATACAAAACCCCAGCCCATGTGTAATGGATGATATCTGCGCAAAACCCGTGGTCCGTTTGCTTCCAATGTGAATTGCACCGTGCTAAAAGGGCCGTATGGGCGGCCGCTGCTCCAGACGCTCGTCCAGTCCGTCGCAGACGCAGCTAAACGACTTCACGTTGGTCCGGTCGATCGGGAAGGGAGCCTTTGGCAAGGTTTGTTTTGTTTGGAACTTGAAAATTTTTTGAGTTTTAGGAAAAATTTAAAATAGGACTCTTTCACAAAAAAAAATTTTTCAAATTAAAATAAAATATGGTCTCTACGTACTTCTTGACGAGAAAAAAAAACATTTTTTACATTGCAATATAATACTAAAATAAACAAAAATGGTATTTAGGTAGGAATAGTGTACCATCGCGGAATGAAGAAGCATTATGCTATGAAATACATGTGTAAGGTACGATTACAACACAAAAACGTGGTGTTCAACGTGCTACGAGAGCTGCAGATCCTAAAAGAACTTAGCCATCCCTTCATTGTCAATCTCTGGTTCACTTTTATCGTAAGTTATCACTTTTAACTTTGATTTTTAGGTATAAAATGAGGAAAAAAAGTTCTAGAAAGTCTTATAATTATCAATAATAAGGCTAAAGTAATAAATATTATATTAAACCACAGATTACTTTAAAGTATGTTTAAAAATACGATCATGTTTTGCCCAAGACAAAAATATTACTTTAACTCTTACAGGACGATGACTACATTTACATGGTGAACGACCTCCTCCTCGGCGGAGACCTTCGTTACCACCTCTCTCAAGTCGGTCGATTCACAGAAGCACGTTGTAAACTGTACGCATGTGAAATGGCGTTAGCTCTGGACTACCTACACAACCGCAACATAATGCATCGTGACCTGAAGCCGGAGAATATTCTACTAGATGATCAAGGTCACGCTCATCTCACCGACTTCAACTTGGCTACGAAGATCGACGATGGTATGTTGGCGACCAGCTTCTCCGGCACCCGACCGTATATGGCGCCGGAGATTCTGGCGACGGCGCTGGGACAACGTGAAGGCTACGATATGTGCGCGGATTGGTGGTCGTTGGGCGTGTGTTTGTACGAAATGCTGCGCGGACGACGGCCGTACGAGTTTCATTCTTCTTCAAGTACTCTGCAGGTGGGTTGGGGCGGTAATAAATTGTAATTTATTGGTACAAGGTGGTACTCTATATCACAAAATCAAATTTTTATTAGTACTCAATGTACCTTTAAAACAAAACTTGATTTTTTATAATACTAGATAGTACGATAAAGTCAACAGTACTAAAATTATGGTACTGAATAGCACCATTATGTAATTAGTACCAATAATGTGTCAAGTCTTACCCTCTTTGAAAGTTCAAAGCGTTGACGACAGAACTTTTTAAAAGCCCCTAAGCTGTTAAAAATGGTTTCAGGTTCTTTCTCTAATGATAAACGGGTCAATCACAATGCCGGCTGAATGGCCAAACGATCTCAAGAAATTTCTATTGGGCCTTCTGAGCACGTCCACACGGAAACGGACCAACGATCTCACAAAGTTCTCCACACACGAATACATGCAACGAATCGACTTTGACAGCGTCCTTGCTAGGTAAGCTCTAAGCTGCACTATTTAAACTTATACTACCCTAACTTACCTTACTTTACCTTAACTTACCTTACCTTAATTTACCCTACCCTACCCTACTTTACCAATACCTAACACATTGTTTTTATTAAAATCTAAAAGAGTACCATTTTCAGACGGGTAACCCCAGCGTTCGTACCAAAACGCACCAGACTCAACTGTGACCCCACCTACGAACTGGAAGAGCGAATCTGTGAATCCTCTCCATTGTACGGTCGCCATCATCGTCATCGACGAAAAAAGAACTCTCACACCCCAACCATCATTACCGACCGGTGTGGGGAAAGCGAGAGTACCAACTTGAATGGTCCTACTCAGACCGAAGTGTTGGACAAGACTTTCGTATCGTACAATCGATTCAAAGCCGCTTCAGAAGCCGATGGAAACGGGAAAGTGGAGGAGAAGAAGGACAAAAGCCCGGTTCCATCGACGTCGTCGCCGAACAATCGACCGCCACAGAGTCAGCTGTCGATTACGTCGAGGAGTACCAACTACTCGATCGGTGGGAGAAGGTAGGGCGTTTTTTATTTATTTTAGGGGGTGTTATATAAAGTTTTATAAATTACGACAAAAATATGTTGTAGAATCGCCCCGGCTTTTGTTTCTATAAACTTTTTGACCTACTCGATATTTATAAAAAATGGAATTGATGCTATCTTCTTTACTTTATCCCTTTCAGATTCCTCGACCTAACAGCCTCTAACTCTCCCTCCAACTTCTCTCCGGCCTCTTCAACCTGTTCAGTCAGCAATAACACCTCGATCCTCAAGAATCGAGCTGTTGTCACCAACCACAAGTCAGAATTGGATGGAAAACTCTTTAAAATTTCTGAAACTGTGGCATAACCACTGACAATACTCTACTCTACTGGTCGAATTTAAAAAAAAACTATTAGGTAGTTCAAATAATTTTGTGCCCTCTACCTTCCAAAATTGTTTTGAAAGGAGCTCATAATTATTTGAAAACCCCGAAAATTCTCCCCGAATTTGCTTTGAAAGAGGCACTGAATTATTTGAACAACCTAATAATTACCCTTTATTTACATATAAAACTGAAAAAAAATCGTTTTTTTATAGTTTTGACCAGTCGATTAACCAGTATTGTTAAAGAGGAGTTTGATGTAGGCCTACGATCTCAAATCTTAATACTTTTATACAGGGATATTTTCTGAAATTTTATTTTTTAAATAAACTCAATTTTTATTTTTCCGTATCACAAATTTTGAAACTTACATATTTAAGTTTCCGCCAATTTGGCATTGTGTTTCAAGCATTTTTTCGACTTTTCAGACAAACTACGCTTACAAATTTAAAAATGTAGGATCATTTAAAGGTTTTCTAATAGTTTATCAAAGAAAAATGCCTAAAAGTCCAAAAATAGCAAAGTTATAAGCTTGAAACAAAATGCCAATTTGGCGGGAAATTTAAAACTTAATTTTTTGATTTTTATTTTCTCGTGATTTCCTGTAAAGCGCGATTTATTATTTTGCTGAAGATCTTATATTTAAATGATCTTTCAATATAAAAAGTTTGAAGTCAATCAGTTTAGGTACTTTGTCTCACTTTTATCCTACCCTACCCAAACTTTCCTTGTAAATTTTATTCTTCTAAAAAAAGATATTATATAACTCATAATATCTTATTTCCAAAAATAACCAAACTTTATTAAACTATAATTTACAAACTTGTGAAATGTAAGAACTGATAATAATTTAAGTAAGTTAGTAAGAATGTACCTTACCAAAGATAGACCCGTTAATTGAAAGTTAAAAAGTTATATTTACATTATCTACTATGATATCAGCACAATCGTATCACTGCTGGAAAATTCTTTTCTATGCTATGAACTGGACGTATTGCTACTGGTCATGCTATTATAGTTAGTATAGTTGCTGGTTAGTAAATAAATAAATTTAAAAAAAACGTTAAAAGATAGAAACTATTAACAATTTCTGACTGAATAGGCCTAACTATAGCTCCTTTAGCTAAAGAAAGTGCTATCTTCCCTATCATCGAAAATATCAAAACATACCCCACGTTATAGATATACTCAATAGAAATTGCCCATTGAAAACCCATAAGTTATCCTAGACCTAATCATAGCCTAAGGAAGCTCCCAATCAAAGATCTACCCAGACCAAATCACATCCATCCTAATCCTCATCGATTTGCAGTCCATCGACCGGGCTTGGCTCTCTTTGGTCTCTGAAGTCTTTGTCCACAAAGTCTCGAGCTGGCTGTTTGTCGGGAATGGCAGCCGACTGGTGGAATGAGGCTGGTAGGAGCGGTGGACCATGACCTTTGGGATCTAGTGTACCAGCAGTATAGAACCTACCCAATTGTGTGTTGGCATTCGGGGGTTTGTCCCTGGCATAAGGTGGTACCACTGGTCCTGATTGGTTTCGGGGGAAGGTCGGGCTGAAAATTAAAATTTTGACATTTATTGATGCTTCAGAAAAAGTCATTTTCCGTTTTTAAATTTAAAAAATCCCAATTTCTTTCCAAAAACCCCACCACCCATCTAAATCTTAACCTTCCCAACCTTTTCATAGGATCACCGCCCTTCCTCTGCCTATACGGCGCTGTGGAAGTACCATCGAAGCTGCCTTGACTCGTGCCCTTCATCGACCCTCTTCTTGGCGGTCGATTCGTTCCATAAGATGGCATTTCAAAGAACATTTTACCGGTCGAATGTCCAGAATAATTCTGATTATATTCTCGGTAATTTTCTCTGGGTTCGCGCGGTTCTCGATTGTCGCGACGATCGTCTCTTGGCGCTGAAGTTGATGCTTCTGATTTCTCTTTCTTATCAGTTGGAGGCATTAGAGGGGGTGCTTCTTGAGGTTTAGGTTCTGGTTCAACGACTTTTGGGATCTTGAAGTTACGAAGGCTGCTGATTGTTGGGCGGCCCATGCTTCCAAGGACGTCTGAAAAAGATGTTTTATATTTATATGATAGTAGGGTTATGTTTTGTTATTTTTTACTTTGAGCCAAAAACCCCTTTTGTTTTAAAATTTTTATATTATAGTAGCTTCATCTGTCCCTTTCGCCCACAAAAGCCCCAAAACTCCTCTCATTCACCAAACAAACCTTGCAACGAAGAGCTGGTAGAATCCTTCCTCTCCACCTTATCCTTCTCCACCGTCCTATCACTTGTCTTTCTGATCTTCTTTCTTTTATCATCGATAACACTCGTTGATGGCCGTTTTTGAGCTAGCCTTGTCTCTTCTCTACTCGAATATTTTGTTGTTTTACTCTTATCTGACAGTTTTTCCTCTTTTTTCTTTGGTTCTTCTCGATCCTTCTTCTTTGCTGGAGTTGGAGACGATCTTTTCCTTGTTGTGGCTGGCGATGGTTCTCTCAGTTTATGTTCCTTCACTTCTTTTGGCTTTCTTTTCTCCTTTGAGTCCTTCTTCACTGCTTCTTTTGTTGGTTTTGATGCGATCCGAGACTTTATTGATGAAGATGATGAGGTTGAGGTGTCGTCACGCTCTTTTTTGATCTAAAAATATAATTTTTGAGTTTAAAATATGACTTTAGGCTTTAAAATATAATTTTAGAACTAAAACAAAATAACAAATTAAAAAAATTGTGCAAATTACCTTTTTGTCATCGATGTCGGTCACCAATGACCCTCTTCGTTCATCTCTTTTCTCCTTTTCCTTCTTTAACACTACTTCTTTTTCTTTCTTTTCCTTTCTCTTTTCATCTTTGGCTTTCCGAGACTCTTTCTTATCCTTATCTTCTTCTCTTTTCACTGGACGAGCTGAAAATTCATATTTCAGTGCATTATAAAGCTTATTACCTCTATCATTAATAAAAATACCCAACTACCTTGTCATAATGTTATAACTTATTATAGTAATATAATATAACAAAACTTACGAGAATCCTCCTCCCGCCTAACAGGTTCGTTTTGAGTCAGAACCGGCGGACCTTTCGAGTCCTCGTCGCTCTTCGTCAATGATGGTGGTGGGCTTTGTGACAGAGAATCTGGAGATGGAAAGCTTGAGTTTGAATTCTCGGTCGGTCGTTTTATCTCCTTATTGCTTTCCAATTGTGGTGGAGCTGAATTGGATTCGTCTTGAGTATTAAAATCCGCATTAACGTCGTCTTTGAAGGTTGGTATCGACGGTGAATACGTTTTTTGTTCTGCTTCTGTCTTCACTTCCTTTGAAAGTTTTCTTTGATTATTAGGGATGGATGGTTCATCTACCTCCATTTTGGTTGCTTTCAAGGCTGTTTCTGATTGCTCCGCCTGAAAATAGGTGCTTTATTAGGCACTGAAGGTAATTTTTTAGTTACTAAAGACACTTTTTTAGTCACTAAAGATACCTTCTTAACTACTATAATATGTTTTTTCTGCTTTACATGTTAAATCTAAAAACCCACATTAAGTGACAATCTCTGGCCAATCTGATTGATCCTCGCCGCCCTCTGTAGCTGACTTTGTTGGCTAGCCTTTAGTTTCTGTTGTTCCAGCTCTCTTTCCTTCTGATCTTGTTTTACTTTGTTCAACCTTTCATTCCTCGCAGCCAATAGATGTGGTTGGTACACTTGATTGTTGTTGGCTGGTACCTTGGGTGGTGGGGGTGGATCAGTTTCATTGTCATCTGACGAATCTTCTTCGTCCTGATTTGCATATGCGTTGGAATAGGTCATCGGAAGCTCCATTTTTGGTCTCACGGCGGTTGGATTCATCTGGCTCATCGGGAATATTGACTTAGTTTGTGGTGGAGGCATGTTGGTAAAGTCCGGGTAGCGACTGTAGGGGTCTTGCTGAAATAGAAAATTGTTAGTGAAATAAAATTTAGGTAACAAAAATTCAAAAATTGAATGGAAAATCAAATTTGATACCTAAAAAATAATATTTTGATTAAAAATCAAATTTTAAGTACCAAAAAAATCAAAAACCTTACCTTTTTGCCCTGATTCTGTGCTTTCAACATGTCAGATTGAGAGAACTTCTTCTTCAACGCCTCCATCTTTGATATCTTGAACATGTCCTTCAAATCCGGCAATTTCTTCTCATTCTTTTCCACATTGAATCTCGAGACAGAGCTCTTCCTGACATTCCAATCGAAACCTTTCTTCAAATTCAACTCTTTTTGTCTTCTGAATGCCAAAGCAGCCGTACCTCTCCACGCCGACAGTCTTCCAAAGGCTTTCCTACTGTATCTTCTCAGATTTACCGGATTCAGAAACCTGGATTCTAACGAAACACCAGAACTCTTCTTCAATATATTAATCGACCGCTTTCTTCTAGCCAGATTCGTTTTCTGTTGAGAAGAACTTGACTTCATAACCTTCTGGAGCTCAGCGAAACCTTCAGTATTCTTTATCTTTGCCAATCTTGTCACGGTCTTCTCGTCTACTGTGCTGTTCCTCTCCTTTTTCATATTCTTCTTGAGCAACCTAGCCTTTCTGATCCTCAAATGTCGTCGAATCATGGCCAAACTGTTAGATGGACACATTTGTGATTCTGCTTCCTTTATCCCATTGAAATCCATAGACAATATTTGACGTTTGGTTAGGAAAATGACCAATTTCATTCTGTATCGTGCTGCTTTCGTCGCTTTGGCATAGAATTCTCGTCGTTTCGGCCCGAATTTCAGAAGTTTAAAGCATTTTCTGGCTGATACTGATGTTACTTTTGGGCTTCTCTTGTAGTGGGAGTTAAAGATGTTGTTTTTGAATAGTTTTAACAGCTTTAATTCGTACTTCTTTTGCGTTTCGGCTTCGGTATAATTGATTATGTTTAATAACAAGTATAATATGCTCCAGTCTCTGAAAACAAAGTTTTTGCTAATAATTTTTATTATTTTGAATAAATAAGACTTTCTTATCAACATAACAAAAAAGCTTAAAAATCTGAAAAGTACAATCTGAAAAAAATCGCAATGTAAAGCCGAAAAATCTAGAAAAATCCACTAAAATTTCAAAATTTAAAAAAACCAAAATAACTTACTGGTTCAAACGTTCTTCAGACGTGACGTCAAACTCTGTAAATTGTTCCAAATTATTCTTATCAATATGAACTGTCACCGGTTTACTTAACAATCTTCCTCCCAGGACCGAATTAATGTTCATGAACAAGTTCAATCTGCCATTTGAAGCAGTAATCGTTACTGAAATGAAAACCCATTACAATAAAAACATTCGTCGGTATGTTTTATATTATATATAGTAACTTCAAAAAGTGATATCTACCTAAAAATTTCAAAATATTTTAAAAAATCTTACCCCTGCCATATAAAAATCGTTCAGAATCGACTTCAATTGATAGTTGATTATACTTTTCCACTTGAATTTGGGTTAACATGCTTCTTTTCACTCCAAAACTGGTGTTATTCTTTGTGTTAATCAACTGTTTTGCCAATCCAAATATTTTCATGTGGTCAAATAACAGCCTGAGGACTTCTGCCACCGCCTGCGGTGTGAATACTGTAATCTTCTTGACCAAAAAGTCCTCTTCTTTTGTTTCTGTAGTCTTCTTATCATTATCTTTCAGTTCTGATATCTTTTCTTTCTCACTCTTATTCTCCTTATCACTTTCTTTATCTTCTCCTTGTTCATCTTCATTATTTGGTTTGAAAAGGCACGTCAAACACTTCTTTTTAGATCCAAATATTATTTTAGGAACCATTTTTTGATCAGAAGCTTCTTTCCACCAGTTGGTCTTATTAGCCACAGCCATTAAACCTCCATTTATGGCTAACAACATCTTCATCAACCCCGATGCCACAGGAATGGCCGTCGGGAAGGTAAGACAATATGAAGCATTCACTGGCCTTGTCAATGGCACTTCAATCCAATTGAGTTTGTCGTTAAGACAAGATTGAGTTGGGAATGACGTCTGAATACTGCTGGAGAACAAAATATTCAGTTGACAAGTGTATCGACCATCATTTGTGCCCAAAGCATTCGGTTCATGCCCACTTCGCCAATCTAGTGATATTGTGAATGGTTGAAGGTCTGAACGAGGCCAAAAGTTAACTGGTTCGTTTTGTTTGAAGAATAAACGGCCTTTTTTAAATAGTAACGTGAGATCATGTTCGAGGATTAGAAGGGCGTTCAAACAGAGTACTCGGTCAGTCCTGAAAATGTAAAAAATATAATACTTTAGGTAACAAAGCCCTTAAAATCAAGAAAAAGATTTTTTTAAAACCAAAATTTTCTTCAAAAACTTACAAAACCACGGAATGAGGAATCAAATTGTTCATAACCTTCAAAACCCTTAAGATAACCACCCAATTGTCATGAGATATCAATTGTCTTATTTGCTCGTTCGGCCTTAATGGAGCACCAAACCAAGACATGTAACAAGTAGCTACTCCTCCAAATTGATCAATACCTATTTGTATGACCATGTCTGTGTTTCGTACCATAAAATAAGAGGTATGATCTTCCAAGTCCAATTTGAGGAGATTTACCAAAGCTTTTAACTTTTCTTTCCACTTGATTTTTGATGAGACTAAAACAATATAATTTTTAGGTTGAATAAGGTAAATAAATTGTTACAAATTTACACCCACTTTAAAGTAAAAACCTTGTTCTAACCTTAGCAAAACAATCCACATAGTTTTCGCCTACTTTTCATACCTAAATTTCAAAAACCATATAAGAAACATACCCAATCGTTCATAATACAGTTTTCGACACGGAACAGACAAGTCGAAGTCTGGTATAACATCATAGTCCAAATTCTCTTTATCTTCGTCTACTTCCATAACTTCTTGAACTTCTTCATCAACTTTCTCTGCGCCTTGATTCATGTTTTCGTACGCCATTATATTATTCAAGTCTGATTCCGACATCTCCTCTGAATTCCATTGTTGTTGAACTACTGGTTGCGGCCGGACTCCAAATTGATTGTTGATGAACGAGTCCATCGGCCTAAAAAGCATATAAAGATAATTAGATAAAGTTTAAAGGCCAGACAATTGTATTCTCGCGTGAAGATCTTAATATTTTTCAAAAACAATATCAACATCAAAAATATTAAAAAGAAAGTAATAACCTTGTTATTATTAAAATATCTTTTACAAACTATCAAATTACTATATATATCCGTAATTATTGATGGCATAAAAGCAGATAAATTATTTTGTTCTTTTCTCGTAAAACCTTTATTATTTTAATACTGCGCTCGCTCAATATCGGACTCTCGATTGACATTGCGCCCTTTTTCGCAGATTTTTCCGTTTTACGACAAAATTTTGTCGAAATCTGAGTTCACCTAGAAACATCAAGGAAATCAGGAGCTAAAATACAGCTTTTCTAATTTTTTGTTAATTTAATAATATTTTAAAGGTACACTTTATTAAGAAGCTTGTTATACTATTTGTTTAGTGAAATTTTTGAAGGTTATAATGAAGTAAATCAAAATTACAAACAATCTTTTTCTAATTATACGAGAGAACTAAAAATTTTATATTACTTTAAATTTTTAATTAATTTCATGGGAAAACAATCAAGATATACTTAAAAACTAAAATAAGCCGTATTTTCGTCGGAATGTGCGCATATACCTCAACATTCCAGACGAACGAAAGCTCAAATGTTGTGCGTTTATACCACCAACATCTTTAAATTATTCTAAAAAAGAGCCGGAAATGTGAGTTTATTTGAAAAATTCTCCAGTGTGTATAATATTGAGATAACAAGTGCGTATATACACCTTGAACTGTGTGTAAAACTATTTCCTGTAAATCTTTGGATGTTTTCGAATGTCTAAAATATTTTAGTTTGATTTCAGCGATTTACTCGAGGTTTTTCAAGGTTTTTTACTTTATGTTTTGTACTTTTATTGTGATTTACATTTGATTTTTTAGATTTATCTTGGCGTATATTAACAAGTATTACCTAAAGCTTATGGAAATGTTGATAACATAATGGAAGCTGGTGTAATGTAAGTTTTTGTGGGGTTTTTGATTTTGGTTTTAGGTCGTGAAAGGAATTTGAAGATATGCAACTTAAATGTTATTTGAGAGATAAGATATCGAACTCGATTTTTGTTGATGAAACATTCTAAAAAGCTGATATTTTTTAAAAGAAGATTTGAGGAAATTTAACGTGTGAAGTTAAACTTGTAAATCTGTAGCTTCCCTTTAAATATAGGTAGAATTTTAAAACTTTAACGTAATTTTCATTATTTATTGTTTAATTTTCAGGAAGTTGTTAATATGTGTGTTATTGCTGTGGGTAGGGCCATGTTTCGGCAATCATGAGCAGCAAGACCATTTATACGGAGTAAATTATGAATCTTTTCTCACACAAATCAACTCTTCGAAACGTGTACCTCATTACATAGATGCACATGGTAAAGAAGGGACGAATTTTAATTTGGATGAGAATGGAATGCCTTACATCATATGTGAAGTAGGTATTTTTGATTTTATTTTGGTTTTTAGGTAACTAGAAGATGTGTATTTGAACTTTGAAAAGTTTAAGTTTATTGTTAATGGATTTGAAGGTATTAAAATCAATGTTTTCTGCTTAAATATAAAAAATCAAATTTTAGTCCTTGAACAACACCTGCAACGGAACAGAAGAGGAATGCACTCAACCAATCCGTTGCTACCAAGAACGTCGATCTCACCGTCTTGGCTGTATGGCGGTGTTTGTCTATAACACAACCGAATTGTCCAAGATGCCAGAGAACAAACGAATCCCTCCAGAAGCGGCAATGCTGAAAGGATGTTGGACTCAAGATGAATCAGAACTGAGAGAATGTGAAGAACACAGTGAATGTGTGGCCAATACAAGAAAGACTGGCACTTACGGGAGAGCGGCCAAGTTTTGTTGTTGTAGGACACATCATTGCAACCGGAATTTGACATTCTATTCTGATGTTGTGCCTAAGAACATCATTGTTTGTGAGTTTTTGTGTTTTTAAAAATTTTTGAAAAAAAATTACAGATCTTTTTAAAAATTAAATTTTAAATGAATTTTAGATGCCAAATTTAATCTATAGGTATATATAACAATATAAAACCTTAACTACCATATTTCAGCTGATCCCCGCTTTGTGTTCTTCGACAACGTTCATTGGCTCAGTCGATTCCTTTTGAGTACCGACTTCTTCGCAGTGGCAGCATTATTAATATTGGTGATATTGTTCTTGTTTGGGCTTTGTTTTGCTGTTTGGTTGTATAGGAAGCGGCAAAGACGCAAGACCAATATTACATTAAAGCCATACGACTGTGAAGATGACTATAGTCACGGTATTGGGGAGATTACTGATGAAGGTACACAATTGTTAAAGGAGGCCAAGGGTGCTAGTTTGAAGGAGATATTGTTGAGCAATGTAAGTTTAAGGCCTTGGAAGGTTGCAACAGGTTTTGCATTGGAAATGAGGGTTTTGAGGGCTTTTTCATTTAAAAATGACGTCTTTTTTATTTTTACGGTAGAAATGACATTTAAAAAAATTTTAATGCCATTTTCTACACCACATCATTGCAGGAACACATGATGCAGCATATATCATCAGGCCATTTTAGCGACGTTCACAGTATGAACATAGCCGAAGCCACAGGCAATCGTATCATAGCCAAAGTGGCAGTGAAGCGATACAATGCCAGTGATCTTGATTGCTGGATCAATGAACAAGAAATCTACGCAATCAAAGCCCTCAGGCAGAAGCCTGAAATCGTGGCATTCATTTGTGCTTTTAGGCATGATGACAAGTACTGGTTCGTCACCAAGTATTATGAGAATGGCAGTGTCTACGATTATTTGAAGGTATGAACATTGATTTTAAAAGTTTTTGAAATGCCATTGATTGGGGTGTTCATATAATTCTGTGCTCCTTCTCAAAGCAAATTTCGGGGTTAGAGAGCACATAATTATTTGAACAACCTAATATTATGTAGGTTTAATATTTATAGGATTATATGGTTTATACAGTTGTTTGAAGAAGCGAGGAGCCGCTAGGGGGTGGCTTTGCAATACCTATAGTTTTTTTGGATTTAACTATGCGTAAATGAATTTTTCTTGTTTTCAGGAGAAAAAGTTAGATGTAGTAAATGCTTCTAAATTACTGGTGACAATGTTAAGTGGATTGGCATTTCTACATGAAGAATTCTTCTTTGAAGGCGAGGTCAAACCAACTATTGTTCATCGGTAAGTTTTTAAAAGCAAAACTTAAGTTACGTTTTGAATTCCCACCAAATTTGCATTGTGTTTCAACCTTATAACTTTGCTATTTTTGACTTTTAATCATTTTTGCTTATAATATGATATTTTTAGTGACATAAAATCAAAGAATGTCCTCGTAGACAGTGATCACACCGCCTTGATCGGCGACTTTTCTTTGTCGATTAAGTGTGAGAACGGTCGAATGGGAACGGAAGAGAACCAGAGTCAGGTGGGGACGAGAAGATACATGTCTCCAGAAGTGTTGGAAGGAGCGACAGAGTTCACGGGCTTCGCTTTCCAACAAATAGATGTATATGCAGCTGCGTTAGTAATATGGGAGGTGATGTCAAGGACGTTGTTACCTGACTGTGTTGATGGTAGGTTTTTTGGAATAATAGGGCAAGGCGGGGGGGGGATACTGTAATATTTTCTTTATCTGGGTTTTACTGTGGATTTACCCTGACCAGAGACATCGTTGGGCGGGGGTGAATAGGGGTGGATTTTACCTTGGCTTCCTTCAATTAATCTTGCTCTGCTATACCATTTTGGTAAAATAAAAAACCTAATTCAGACTCAGTACCCGAATACATGTTGCCGTACCAACAAGAGGCCGGCGAAGCCCCCACCCTCGGTAAAATGCGTGAAATCGTGGTAATGGGAAGGAGTCGACCCAAATCTCGACCAGCCCTATTCGAGAACCCAATCACCGGTCAAATCATGAAAACCATGCAAGACATGTGGGACAGTGAACCGGACGGTCGTATCACTTCGAGCTGTGCTCGTGACCGTCTCGTCCACGTCTATCAGATGAGTTCGGGTGTTGTAGTGGAACAGGTCTACAAGAGCTCGGAACAGTACCAATCGGGTACGTCGTTGAATGGTACGAGTAGAGCGTGTTCGACGTCGGGAGCGGCGTCCGAGACAGGTGCAACGATACCAATAGGTCAACTACAGGCTGAGTACAACGAGCTACAGTCGTCGACGAATACGTCGATGACGGACTTTGAGATAGCGCGATGTCCGTAGGGATGGTTGTTATAGTAGCGAGTCTGTATTATAGTAAGGATTCTGTGGTGTTTAGGATAGATTTGTTGGTGTATTTTACTGTGTTAGGAGGTGTACGTCCTTACTCTACCGTACTGTACTAAATATTATAGTAAAATATGCGTCTTCTCGTCTACTCGAAACAACCTTCTAGACCTACGGTATTCTTAAATAGTGTTACGTGTACTTAACAGCTTTGTACATTTGTTTTATTGTTACATGGTCAACTCGATCTTCTCAAAACATTATGTTAATGTCGTTTTTTGTATATTTTGGAAGGAGGCCGGTATACGCATGTCTTTACCTTGTTGTTGATAACGGAGTATGCACAATTTATCTTTTATTATAAAAAAACATATAGATATACATAAATGTTTTTAAAATTGAAAATATGGCATTCAGTAGCGTTTTAGTGGTATATTGTGCACATTTTGATATATACAGCAAGGTTGTGATATGGTATACTGTAGTTTTTACATATTACTACTCAAAAAATTGTTAGTTATGACTTTAGAAGTCAAATATAGTTGTTTTAATCAAGGGTTTTGTTTAAAAATGCCATTTTATAACTGATGGCACTGTTTTTTGATATTTTTAATTTTGGAAAAAAATTTTTTTTAATCATTTGAAATGTAAATCTAGGTTGATTAATACGACATTTTTAACTGAAACCTTTGATAAAATTATAAATATTACTCAACTCAAAGCTCATCATGCACCCCATGGTCATGTTTGACACATCGTATAACAAGTTTATGTATATTGTTGGCTTTTCACTCTTCTTTTTCATAACATACTGGTGATTTTCACACATATAGCCCTAGTAATATTCATGTATATGGTATTTACTGTACAGCTTAATAAAATTCTAATTATAACAAGGTTTGGTGGCTTGATAATCAGGGTTATGAGGGGGTAGATAAGGTTAAAAGTGAGGTGAATAAGAGTATTATAGAAGCTACTCTTCCTTGTTGACTATAACGAGTGTGTCTGACGATGACATTTCTTACTATGGTACACTATTCTATTATAAATGAAAGTTAGTTATCAACATCAACAATGTGGTATCTTGCTCTTTTACTCTCAGTCAAAGCTCAAAAAACTGTGTGACGTCGTATGTTGATGATCAAAGTATACACGTGTAAATTATATATTTTATGCAAAATTGCAGTTTTAATACCCACAAGATGTAACAAACCATCATGGTGTATATGTTTATACGAAGAAGAGAGATATTAACCATGGTAAATGTTTTTATATTAACCATGGTAAACGTTTATTTATTAACCATGGTAAATGTTTATAGCACAGACTTCGCAACCTCGCTCCGGACGTAGCATGATAACATTGGCACTCTCGTTAACATAATAACGTTCATCATTAGTTCAAACGACTTTTTATGCATTGTTGGGTTACTGGGAAACGGCAATAAAGCCTTGGTTCGACGTATGTTAATTTCTACTGAGCGGAATTTAAATATTTACTATAATAAGGGTTATTTACTATAGTAATAAGGTCTATATGTTTATATGAAGGTTTCTGGTTATTGTGTACTACGGAAGTTGATAGTAATTGTTATAGTAAAGTGCTATAGAAATTGGTGGTATATACTTAATGGTAGTTACATACGGTATGACATAAGATATTTCGTTTTAAGTAGCATTATTGGATGACGTTACAAGCTTCATATCACGATTGGTAGAAGGATAAGATAATCTCTGGTACTATACAGTACAGTCACCCTTACAAACTGTACCATACAGTAACATCAGTTTTACAAACTGTACCATACAGTACTATTCGTTTTACAATTTTTATCTACAGTATCTTCAATTTTACAAACTATACCTACCGTACCATCGATTTTACACCCCCTATCATACAGTAATAGATTTCACAGTTCAGTCCTATATCAATCTATTAATCATGATCAGCTTGCTGTTTGTGTATTGGCTCTCCGATATGATCGGCAGTGTTCTCGGAGTGATATTGAACTGTTTATTAATGTACATCATCTTCAAAACGACAACACAACAGAACAAAGAGTATACCAAGATGTTGAAGGCGGCGTCCTTCTTTGATATGTTGTTCTCGTTTACTGAACTCATCACACAGCATGTAAGTAGAGTAATGTAAAGCAGTTTACATTAATAAAGCGGAAGGTGTTGTGGACAATTTTCGTATTGTAACATCTTGTTATAGTTAACAGATACAATATATTAAATTGAATCAAAAGTAGCGGGACACTTTTTCATTGAAAAATAAATGAAAAGTGACCCGCTACTTTTGGTTCAATCATATTAGGTTTTTCAAATAATCCCAAGCTCTTTAGCCCCGAAAACTCGCTTTGAGAGATGGCTCAGACTTATTTGAACAACCTAGTGTAGTACATGTAGTAACGCATATACCATATTATAGTAACCAAATTTACAGACATTGGTAGTGAAACGCGGCTGGATGATAATGATACCAAATGGGTTTGAGAAGTGGGCTGGAGCCAATTGGTACGTACCATTTTACATGTTACACATGTTTGTTATGGCAATGGGAATGTACATCTTCTTGGCACAGTATCATTACCGATACTCGTTGTTGTCACAGTAAGTACATTAAATTGTACATATAATTGAGTTATAAGGCATGGGCTTGCAAAGTAGGCCCGGTCCAATCCCATGCCTATATGCCTTTTTATGATAGAATAAGGTAATTAGAGTAAGGTAGGGTACTTATATTATCTATATTAGATGACAATTCTTTTCAGGCCAGTGACAAGTGAATGGTTGTTATTCAGAAACATTGTCATAGCGATGACAGTTTCAATATTAGCTGCCGTTTTTTCTGTTTGGGTATTGAACCCATCTTTAGTGAATGGCTCATGGCATTACCTAAAGTTTTTGGACAAAATGTGGTCGCCAGATGGTAACAAGACCTACGCCTATGCTATTGACACGGTAGGACATTTCTCTGTGACATATTATTTGTATGAGCTTAAATTTACGGTATGTTTGAGTTAGAATAGAATGCATATTACGTCAGATATACTGCAACAAACGTTTCTTCTTTATGATATCTATACAATGCCTCAAACGGTTACTACAATATAATATTCACTATGTCTTAAACCTTTACTATGTTCTTGTAGGACTATCCCCGAGCCTTGGCCTACTTTTACCTGCTAGGAGTGCTGAGTACGGTCTTCTTCTGGAGCTGTGTGTTTTATGTCTACAAAATCATGAAGTATGTTTATCAGCCCATGGAGAATATCAGCTCCAAGACGCGACGAATGCAAATCCAATTTACTGTTGTTATTATTATACAAGTAAGTGTGTTTTTACATTGTTATCATTATTCAAGTAGGTATATTTTTACATTGTTACTATCATTCAGTTGAGTCTATTTTTACGTTACTGACGTATTTTATAAAAGTTTTTTGAAAAGGTGGCGAGGGAAGGCAATTATGGAAATTTCAGTTGACATAATGTTTGTTAGTCGGCTTTAAATGATACATAACACATGTGTATTATACTTACGTTATATTATTTATGTTATACTCAGTAAATGACTTTAAAAATCAAAAATTTCAAAATGTAAACTTCTTACTCATTGCCATTCCTTTCAGGGCCTGACCTGCTTCCTATTCTCCTACCTCCCTATCAGTTTTATCGCCGTTTTCACATTACTACGAACCCAAAACGAATATGTCGGGTTGTTCATGTTAATGCCCTTATCTTGGCTACCAGCTACCAATGGTTTGGTATCTTTACTATTAGTGAAAGCACATCGATCAACCCTATTCAACATGTTGTTATGCCGGAAACGAGATGCGAAGAATGCCATAGGACAGTCTACTGTACAATCTTTGGGATGATTTCGGATAAAATTTGATATTCTTGGTGGAATATTGTTGTATATCTTGTACATTTTAATATATTAAAAATGTATGCCAATTGAGGTATTGACTTCAAAATTTTTATATAGGAAGATCATATAAATATAAGACCTTCACAAAAATACTAAATCCCGTCAACCATGAGAAAAAATTACGTTTTGAGTTTCCCGCCAAATTGGCATTATGTTTCAAGCTTATAACTTTGTAATTTTTTGACTTTTAATCCTTTTTCTTTGATATACTAGTAGAAAACCTTTAATTGAACCTACATTTTGAAATTTGTAAGCGTAGCTCGTATGAAAAATCGAAAAAAATGCATGAAACACAATGCCAAGTTTGACAAATTGGCAGGAGGCCTTTTCCTTTCCGTGGGTCCTGCCACGAAAATTTTTATTTTTAAATATTATTTGCCGGAGGAATTGTGCGTGGGTCCTACCACGAAAGTGTTCGCGCCAAAAGGCCGGCCTTGTTTTGGTAATTACAGAGTTTGGATTTTCTGGCGAAGCCGGCCCTATTTTTTGCTTGATAGCTTGAGTTTGGCACGTTCGGTCCGTTTGGAAATTGAGGCGGCAGAGAAACAGAATGCCAAATAATTTAGCGCTTATTTGTTTTCGTGGCAGGATATTTCACAGGGTTGTGTGTATAGAAAAATTTATAAATTTTTTAAATTGATTGATTATGACCATTGCACTGTATTGAAAATTCTTGGAAAAAATTATTTTTATGTTATTTTAAAAATATTTTTGTCTTATTAAATTATTTTTATAGTTTGCTAAAAAAATATTACCCTGCCTTTTAGCCCAAAAGAAGGAAAACCCGCATTGTTTGCCCCTGCCCCTCTTCTGCCCCTGCCCCTGGTCTTGTTCCTGCCCCTGCCCCTGCTCCTGCTCCTGCCCCTGCCCCTCCCCTGCCCCTGTCTCTGCCCCTGCCCCTGCTCCTGCCCCTGCCCCTCCCCTGCCCCTGTCTCTGCCCCTGCCCCTGCCCCTGCCCCTGCCCCTGCCCCTGCCCCTGCCCCTGCCCCTGCCCCTGCCCCTGCCCCTGCCCCTGCCCCTGCCCCTGCCCCTGCCCCTCCCCTGCCCCTGTCTCTGCCCCTGCTCTTGTTCCTGCTCTTGCCCCTGCCCCTGGCTTTGCTCCTGCCCTTACTTCTGCCCTTGCCTCTGCCCTTACCCCTGCCCTTACCCCTGCTCTTACCCCTACTCTTACCTAGACCGCGTTCTGTCGGACCAAAATCTCTGACCGGCCCATTTGCCGAAAACTAGGCCGCTGAAGCTATGTTAAGCCTGGCTTGGGAGCTAGGTTTACCTCCCCCCCCTCTGCTTCTGTTCTTACTCCTACCCTAACTTCTACTCTTCTATTTTCTTCCGCCGTTGCTTTGATTTTGACCTATAATCCTACCTCTTTCCCTGCTCTTACTCCTATCTCTACCTCTACTCCGACCACTCCCTGAGCCTAGCTATACACAGGTAAGGCTAAAAAAGCGGAGGTAAGTTGGATAGGGCTAAAATGACTTTAGTTTTGGATTTACGTTAGAGGTGATCTGTTCTGTAAGGTAAGCCACTTTTTATGTTAACCTATTTCTGGAAGAGAATCTAGAGGTGGCCGATTCCCGAGGGACGAAGTTCAATAACGTGTTCAGTGAAATACAGTGGCTTTTCTATAGTGAACTATCTGTATAAGCAACTCGCTTTACAGTAAACAAAAAATTTGGTCTTACCCAGTTAAATTACACAAAAAATCACTCTGTAAAGCTAACACCTTCTATAGTAAACACAAAATGTTGGTCTCTTCGGGTTTCTTATATAGAGATAGTAAAGTATTTTTAGTTTTTGTTTATTTATAAATATTCTGGTACATGAAAAAGTTGATTTTGTTTGTGATCAGATATTCAAACTTCGTTGTTTCCCACACAAAACGTCCCAGCTGTATAATCTGCGATATTACATGGTTTAATAAAAAAAAAAAGTTGCTCCGAAGGATGCTGGAAACACCAAACCGCTGCTTTTTTTTTAATTTTTTTACTAAATATTGCCAATAACGTGTACTTTTAATCTGCAAGACAAACTTTTAGATTTTGCCTTTTACAAAAAGTTACAGTACTTTAAGTGATTTTCTCCAGTGCAAAAAAAGTTGCTCCGAAGGATGCTGGAAACACCAAGTCGCTGCTTCTTTTTATTTTTATACCAAATCTTACTGATAACGTGTACTTTAAATTTGCAAGACAGATTTTGAGATTTTGCCTTTTACAAAAAGTTACAGTACTTTAAGTGTTTTTTCTCAGTGCAAAAAAAAGTTGCTCCGAAGGATGCTGGAAACACCAAACCGCTGCTTTTTTTAATTTTTTTACTAAATATTGCCAATAACGTGTACTTTTAATCTGCAAGACAAACTTTTAGATTTTGCTTTTTAAAAAAAGTTACAGTACTTTAAGTGCTTTTTTTAGTGCAAAAAAAAACTGCTCCGGAGGTTCCTAGAACAACAAAGCAGCCACTTAGCCTCAGATTTTATAGGGACAGTTATTTAGTAGTTTACTTTTATTTTGCAAGACAAATTTTTAGGTTTTGAATTTTAAAAAAATTTACAGTTTTTTAACGTTTTTTACGGTACTTCACATAGCACTTTAATAGATACCAAGTTAAACATGCAAGGTATTAACTTAATATTTTGTATAAACGTTGTTTCTATAACATACATAAACTTAGTAAAACATTTTATTGTATTGTTTTTTAAAAAAATAGTTACAGTAATTTAAAGTTTTTGATACGGTGCAAATTTAGTTACTTCTATGAGTGTTGGCCGAACTAAGAAAAGTATAAATTTTATTTTTTGAGTGAATTTTTTAACTATAAATTACTTTAATTTTGTAATACGGTTTTGTATTTTTTTGTACTTTGTAGAAAGTTACAGTAGTTTAATAATTTTTCGTGCAACAAACATCGTATAAGATGTCTTACACAAAAACGCGCAGGTCGCAAGTTTAGGACGCAGCTCACTGCCGTTTTAAAATCCTTTTCTTTAGTAGCGGACCGAACGTGTTTGGACCATGTTTTTACGGTTATACTGTTGTTGGGTTTGGATTATTTAAGTAGTATTGTGTTTGGCTTGAAAACTTTGATATTACCTTGATTATATTTGTTTAATTCAAACGTATTGTTGTTTAACTTAATATTTACTGTTTTATTACTTGTAAAACTCTGTCTAACTGTGGACAGAAACAAACTTTTTCAAAACTATTCAATTTTTTATCTGATATCTTTTTTACTGTAAAATCTGCGTATTCAGATTTAAATTACAAAGGACAGCATTGTACTTTAAATTTGGTGACAGTCGGGCGGCAGCCAAACTTTTTGCGGCCAATTAATGTTTATTTATATACAAATCGCGATTTCAATTTGTAGTTTAATTATTTTAAGAATAGCGTTGATTTAGTTTATCGATTCAACGTTAAAAACTGATTATAATATATTATTTTAGTAATGATGAAATATCTGGCAAACAAAGTGGGCCACCAAGATCCCGGAGCCGACTGTGGCAGCGATATTGAGCTAGAGCAGGAGCAAACGAGAGGAAAACCAGAAACTGTGGAACCAGAAGGCAGAATGGACAAGTTGATTCAACTTGTCTCAACTCTACAAGACATATTCTCTACTGTTGATGCTGACAGTCATGAGATGCAGCTGCCGCAGATTGTTGTTGTTGGAGATCAGGTAACTTTTGGAATAAGCTCTTTGAACTTTTAAACAGCTTGTATTATGTTGTTCAATTAATTCTGTGCTTTTAACTTCGAAATCTGCTTTGAGAAGGAGCACAGAATTATTTGAACAACCTAATAACAAATTTTCAATCAAGCTTATCAAATTCATTTAGAGTGCTGGAAAGTCGTCGCTCCTTGAAAGAATTGTTCAACAAGACTTTCTACCTCGTGGTACAGGTATTGTTACCCGCCAACCTTTGATCCTAGACCTTATTTGTTGTCCGCCCAATGATCCGCGAAGAAAGAAGTTTGGTATGGTTTACAAAGTTAATTTGATTTTAATGTTAATATTGATATTGCTTTGATGCTTATAACATTATGAATTTCAATACTAGCTAAGTGTTTTTACAGTCTAATAGGTTGTTCAAATAATTCTGATCCCCTTATCTCAAAAATTTGCTTTAAGAGGGGCTTAGAATTATTTGGAAAATCTAATAATTTCAACCTAAACCACACTTAACTTAACTAACCACTTGCAGGTATGAATAAAACAGATGACTTTTCAACCTTCGAAGGTATCGATGAGGTTTTTACAAATTTTGAAGATGTTCGCAATACTATTCAATACATTACGGAAGAAACATGTGGGAACAATAAGGTAGACGTTCTTTCAAGATTCCGTAGTAAATATTCATTCAAAACTTTACAGTAAATATTTTTTCAAATCTATAAGAAATGTTCTTCATATTTTTATAGTAACCATTCCGAAAGTAATAATTGAATTACAGGGTGTTTCCACCAAACAAATCCATCTCCGTATCTACTCGGCTCATGTGATCAACATTTCACTGGTCGATTTGCCGGGTCTAACTCGTGTCGCAGTCGGTGATCAACCACAAGACATCCCAGAACAAATCCGAGGCATGGTGGAGTCGTTCATTTCGAATGAGAACACTATCATATTGGCTGTCACCCCGGCCAACGTCGACTTGGCCACGTCTGAGCCGCTGAAGTTAGCTAAACAATTTGATAGGAATGGTAAGCATTTTGATGGTTGAAGTCAATTTTTATTTTTTTATCACCAGCTACGAGTATTTTTGTTTGTACATAGTAATAAAATTTAATGTTTTATTCGTAGTCAATAGTAAAAATTCAACTGAAGCCTTTCAAAGTAATATATTTACTTTCAGGAGACCGTACCATCGCCGTTCTGACAAAACTAGACTTGATGGATAAAACTAGACTTGATGGATAAAGGGAACATCGGCTGAAGGCGTCCTTCTTGGCCACACAATCCCAGTGAAGCTAGGTATCATCGGAGTTGTTAATCGATCTCAACAGGATTTGAACAACAAGAAGACTTTACAGTCAATGGAAGATGATGAGATGAAGTTTCTCAGGAAAAACTACCCTCATCTGGCTGCAGTGAATGGTAGTACTTACTTGGCTAAGAGATTAAATGAGGTAAGGACTTGTGTAATGTTTTAGTATTACATTTAACACGTATAGCGTTAGGGCTGCTGCGATATCTTATATATGATACATGAGTACTTTATGTATATGATATATACGTAAAATTTGAAACGAAAACATATAGTAGGGTGCAAATCACAATATAATTAACAAAAAATAAAGTAAAGCGTAATACTTCTATAACCACAAATTTCAGATTCTAATCAACCACATCAAGAAATGTCTGCCGCAACTTGTCACTCGTGTTCATGACAAAACAGCCGAAAATAAAAGGAAGCTAGTCGAACTTGGGGAAACCTTCACCGATCCAAACAGTGCTGTCGTCAAGACTGTCACTCAATTTACTCAAAACTTCAACGAATTGACATACAATGGAAACACTATCATGGTAATGGAAAAAAGATCTCCTGCTGCTCGAATATCATTTATTTTCGACGACAAATTCCCTAACGAGATAAATGGTTTGAACCCGCTAGAAGGTGTTAGTGGTCGAGAAGTCAACCACTTTTTGAGAAATGCTACGGTAAGTTTGTACGGTACTAAAAAAGGTAAAAATAGATACTGTTAGATTATGTATGAGTTTTGCAATTTTGTGTAAGAGGACTGTCAGACAAAGTAATCGCTTTTACTCTACTAGTGAGGCACTATTAGACCTCTAATGAGGCTGGGACGCGACTCCGCGTGCCGCCTTGGCTCGATCTTCATGTTTTTCAGTCTAGCCTGAGGCTTAGTCGGGTCTAGTGGGCTTTTTTCAGGCCGTGGTACTATTGGTTACTGCATAAAAACTCATTTGTTTTTACATTTTAGGGCTTGAACCCTCATGTTTTCATACCACCGACAGCCTTCACTTCTCTGTTGTGCAAACAAATATTGCGAATCGTCGAACCGTCGTTGGAAATGGTCGATAAAATCAAGGATGAGCTAGTTCAAACTGTCAAAGATTGCAATGTCGGGGTAAGAAGAAACTCTGTTTTAAAAATAAAAGCAACGTTATCAGCGTTTTTTAAGTTTGGTTTGAGGGGGCGCAAAATTAAGTGAACGACCTAATAAAACCGCTTTTTCAGATTTACAGTTTCAAAAATTTAAATTGTAAAACAGAATAAAAATTCGTTATTAACTTAATATTTTAGGGTATTTACGACCGTTTCCCAATGCTGAAAACCCGAATTCAAATCATTGTGGAAGACGAGTTGGAAATGAAGGTTGAAGAAACTAAAAGCCTGATTCAGAATTATATCGAGAGCGAGTCTGAGTACATTAACACTAGACACAAAACATTCGACACTTTTTACAAGAAATTGTATCGACGTGAGTTTGAGGTAAGGCTAATTCACTAACTATTGTTGATGAATTGAAAATAAAATTTTCATAGAACGCTTTCGAATACCTGTTACTTATTGTTTATTCTAGGATTATCATATGAAACTGTTAAATGGCTTTATAAACGTAATTTTTCAGAAGAGAAACGCTCCACCCCCAGAAGAACAAAATCAAGATCCAGACGATCTGGACACTGCTTCTTCAGAAGATGAAGATGCTGAACAGTATGCTACATATGATGGGGACAAGAGAAATGTGCGGCTGATTAGTAAGTTTTCGTTTCAGAGTTTTTTATTTTATGGTTGTCAGATGAGTTAAAAATATTCATATTGTAATACTTAACACATAGTATAACATCTAGTAAGGGATACTTAACCATATTATCAAAAGATAAAATATTTTGCCACAATATCAGTAAACCACAGATGTTCTAAAACAATCTGTAATTTTCAGAGAAGTTGGTGCCAGCTTACTACACTACTGTCAAGTCGAACGTAAAGGACGCTGTGCCAAAATTGATTGTCAAAAACATGATCAAGCACCTACACACCAACCTGACACCACTTCTCATGGAGAAGATGCATCGTGCTGAAGATGTAGAATAACTGTTCCGTGAAGATCATCGTACTGTCGCTGAACGTCAGCATTGTAAGAAGCTGCTGGAGGCTCTAAAAAACGCAGAGAAGGCTATCAGAGGTATTGGGCAAAGTTATTGAGGTAAGAGACGGTATAGAACCTTATTTTAGCGAAACATGGTATATACTATGTTATGCTACAGTACAGTTCAATTTTTAAAGTAATACAATTTTTGTTTTTCATGTTATTTTATATTGTAACTGAACTTTTGCTGTTTTATATTGTATTTTGGTCACAACCTGTCATCCTTTCTGTAACTTTTTTCATTTTTTGCCATATAACCCCATAATATAACTCATTTTTCACATAACCCATAATAAGCTAACCACTGCCAATTGTATAGTCTTTATTGTTAAACGATTATATAACTCACACTCACTTTATAACCACACATCAAAATATCCCTCAAATCTTTTATTATCATGTGGAAAAATATCATAATCACTTATATAAACAATCTCGTGCTGTAATAAAATATGTACAACAAGTTACATGGTAGACTCGAGGCCCAAGAACTGTGGAGGTGATGGTGAAGGTTGTTTTTGGAAGGTGGGACTCTCAGTTCTTCTGTTAGTTCGCCGTAAGATCGAGGGCGGAGGTTGGGCGTCTTGAGGAGGATTGAAGGTGTGGGTCTTGGTGGTGTATACGTCTGGATCTCTTCGGGTAGTACTGTAAAGTTTTGGAGTTAGGATTTTTTAATTTTTTTGTGATATTTCGATAACTTATGATAAGATTGGTCAAAATTTGTGTATAATATGGAAGCCTTTAGTTTTGTTGGATAATAAGGTAGATAGCCTTATATGCTTAAACTGAATTTTCTGACCAAAACTCTTGGATTAGTATTTGGCACTACATTAAGACTCACTTAAATAAAAATTCATACATAAAAATATTAAGATAATGTATTCTTACCCAGCATTCGACTTCCTGAAGGTGATTTTAGTCTCCGGATGTAAGCTGATTCTTCGTAGATAACATGACAAGTATATAGAGCATATAAACAGCATAATGGCGACAGATGACAGGATACCACACATCCATTTTAGACCTGTTTCTAGTGTTCTGGCTAAAATGAATCAGTTTTAAACTTTCAAAATAATACTAAAGTGGTTATCATGTTCTAGAAGGTACTACATGATATTGAAAGCTTGGAAAATAGAAACAACTTTAAAAAATGCCATATATAAAGCACTTACTTCTGCACCAAACGTGCCATCCGGGAGTCCAAGTACCATTAACACAAGTCCTTTGTGGTGTACCATGAATAAAGTACTCTGGTTTGCAAGTGAATGTTACAGTAACCCCATCGAGGTAGTTGTTACCAGGTGGATATTTCACAACTCCTGGTGCTGTCAAAAGAGCACCACAACTCATGGTCCTAATGGTACCTTTCACTTTTTGTTCGCTCAACTTGGTCTGCATTTCCAATGTTAACATGGCGATCTCTCTTCGACCGGTCATATAAAAGTCGTATTCACATTCATATACACCTTGACAGGCCGATCGTACTTCCTCTTCCGTGTAGACAAGAGAGCCATTGTATAACATACGACTATGGTCGAAGAGTGGTTGATAGTAACGATCGTTACCGAAGGATAAGGGATCGTATATTGGTTTGATGTCATCTTGGAAGAGGAGCTTGTATTTGGAGCCGTCTACTCGCCCTGAAAAGCCACTTACAGTACCATAACTTTTTTACCGCACCCTATTAAGACCTAACTTACAGTATTCTACCATACTTTAATATAACCCACGCTAATCTACCATGCCCTACACTACGCTACCCTTCCCAACCTTATCCAACCCTAATCTACCCTACACTTCACTGTCATACCCTTACCTATCCCACTGCCCCATCCCCCTTACCCTACCCCAATATAACTTACAACTCTCGCCGAACTGATAAGCATTCCGATTGTCCTGCTCGGTCGGTGGATGACCAACGGAAAAGATCTGGCCATTCGGATCCATCAGGTCATCCAGGTGGTTGTCATTGAAGGTACCCAACAATCCTACTGTCATAAATCGATTAGCTCCAGCATAACGTTGTAAGGTTGATGGGACGTATACCTGACTGGCTAGATGATGAGTACGAACATTTGAAGTACTTCTGCCGAACTCATCGTATCCTGTGCCAAAGTAGTCGTGACCGCGGTTAAACTGGAATTTCGAAGGGGTTAAGATATTATAGTAGCTTTGAAGTTATAGTACGATAGACATGATACTAATACCGTTATAGTACGAAAGGTATGATACTAGTACAAGAGATGTCTAGGTTTTAAAATAAGGTTAAAACTAAACGAAAAATGAGAAAATGTGAAATATTAGGTTATATAAAAAGTAATGAGCTACATCTCTCATAGAGATATGGAGCTCTGTAGCTCATTACTTTTTATACAACCTGATATTAGGCTAAACCTACAGCATAACTTTCGTTGAAATGAGGTGGCAGCAGTACCATCACTGCCAGGACACCATGAGCTTCGTTAACTTGAATTCCAGCTCCAGAATCAAACATAATCTGAATTTCCGACTGATTATGATTCCGTTCCGGACTTCTGATAGTTACACCTACAACAATATATTTTTATTACAAATTTCTTAAACTTTTGTTACCTAAAAAATTTTTTTTCTCCGCTAGTACTTATCGACAGCAGCTTGAGCTAAAACCTACCCTTAAACCGCTGCATTTTCAGCTCAGGCGTGTCGAAGAAGCAGTAATGCCCATTAACCACCACGTCCATTCGATACCTCCATCTCCTGAACTCCTTCCTCGCAAACACTTGTACAATATCAGATGTGTTCTCTTTGGCCGCCACTCCAGTGATAACCGACGCCTGTACCACTTGGCCCCAGTCCGTTTTGGGCGGTTGTTCCATTCTAATCTGAACATGAAAGTCGTGTCTTGGGTCTTTGCTCATAGATAACACGTAGTAGCCTTTGCCTTGGAAACTGTAGCGCGTACCATCGTACGTTATGACATGTGGCTCTCCGTAGATGATACCAGCAGCTGGTGGAATATACTCTTGACAGCCTGAGGTTTGGCGTCGCCAGAAGTAGAACTCGCAGTGACCTGCCCATTTACAACACTTTTCGTATGCCATACGGTCGGTGTGGTAGTTACTCAGCGATGGTACGTAGGGGGGACGTTTGAAGGGGTAGGCACCCATTGGATGGGCACGTTGAGATGTGCCTGGACTGAAGAAACGGAGATGAGCAGCGTTCTCGTAGTCGTCGGAATGCATCAGCCAGCCTTCGAAGTCGTAGCAGCAGACTTGGCCTGCTCCGGTCCAGCTAAAAATATATATGTAAGTACTACTCTACCTTTCCTTACCCTGCAGTACGATAGCCTACTCTAGTTGATCCTACCCTAAATTACCATACCCCACTCCACCTGATCCTATTCTATGAATAAACCTACGTAGCAGCAGTAGACATGACACAATGTTGAGCACCCTTGTTGTATTCGCAAGAAGCATCACCATCTCTGTCACATCCAAACAAAGGCATGAATCGACCAATGTCCAGAATGGCTTGGTCGATAGTGCAAGGACAAGGTATCGACGGCTCCAGATCCATGGCGTAATTCACTCTCTTGCCATCGTAGTCAAACCAATCTCGGCACAACTCCAACGCCCAGTCAGTTCCATATTGATACTCCCATTGTGGACGGAAGAACCACCCAAACGGGGTCATCTTCGACCAGAACATGCCGACCGTTTCGTGCTGCTGACCGGACGCCAACTCGATCTGAATCGCTCCCCAACTGAAGCGTCTCCAGTTGTCAGTCCACGATTGCTTCAACATCAAGGTTTGTGGATCAAAGTCGTAGAAACCATTGTTGGCAGCACCTTGAGCTATTACCCCGACCTCTTCGAAGATGTGGTCGTCCGTGTCCTCCCAATAACCCATCAGCTTTATATTAATCATGGCGGAGAGATCGTTGGTCAAGTTATGAGGTGCCCATTCCATCCTTAAGTTGGTCGCGTTGTGAGAGCGCCAATTGTCGTGAGCTATTAAGGGATCGTCTATGAGCTTGATTTGAGGCATGGCCAAAGAGGGTTGTACTGAAAATGGCATGCGTAAGTGGATATATACTATCATACACAGACTGTATGGTATCATATACAGCTTTTATGTATAAAAAAAATATTGTAGCAAAAACAGTAAAACTTACAGAGGTAGAAAGTGCCATAATAAGGGTAGGAATGCCCCCCATCTCTGCTCATCTTCGTCGTTACCAGCCCTGTTTTGAATATTCGATTTACTGGTAGTACACACTGAGCTCTCACCATGTTTAACTAAAAACGACATATGTTAATATCAAAAAGCGCTTGCATTCAATGCTGAATCAATTTTTGACTTCAATATTTAATACTAAAACAATTTTTAGCTCAATTTGTTCATATTACAACAACTTCAAGCTTTAAAGCACTAGTTCATGCTAAAACAACTTCCAATACTGCAAAAACACCTACGCGCACACAATCGACCAGATATTCATCAAAAACCACTTTTATAACATCACCACCCCGTAAACAAGGTCCAGTCACATTCACCAGCGTACCACCTATCATACTGGCCGCAATTGGAGCTGTAGTCATGATACCGACCGAGTGATTGCTACAACCGCCGTTTATGATCTGTTCATCGATTCGATAGATCCATCTTCCAGGAATACCAACGTTTCCGAATTCTTTGAGCTTCAGAATACGACCTTCTCCAGAGTACGGTAAGGGAAAGAAACCGGTACCGTTACCACCATTGAATCCGGCCTGAGATATGGTTTTATATTTCAAATTTTTAATTTTAAAACTATGTTATGTTGTTCAACTAATTCTGTGCCCATTAGCGACAAAAATTTGCTTTAAAAGAGAGCACAGAATTATTTGAAATACATAATATTCAAAGTTTAAAGTTATATTAGAACCTAAAAAAACCTTACAATAGCACTCTGAAGACCACCACGACCCTGCAAAGCACCAGCCGTATTCGAACTAGTCCAATTAATGTTGGCATAGTTAAAAATAGCATAACTTCTGATTTCATCCGTAGCCAATACCACTTGATAAGTATTCCACCATCTCTTGGCTTCGTGGTACTTGTTAACTTGAGTAATCTTCGGTGCTCCACCATATGCCATCCTTTCCCATGTCACAATCAAAGCGTAGTCGGCTCTGAATCCACTGGCTCCAATCGTACCGTCTCTTATGGCCATGGTGATGTTGTCCAGTAGGTATGGATCTTCCACTCGACCAATCTTGTTCTTTTCGTATCTGTCGCGAGGGGTTTGGAACATGTCACCTATAACAGTATAATTTTAAATTTTTGTGTTTCCAAATTAAAAAAATTAAAAATTTCAGATAATTAACATAAAAATACAAAACAGTACCATATTGATCCATTGGTCCCATCATAGGGCTGCCCCACTCATCGACAGTCTCATAAGCTCGAGGACGAAAGACCAGCCGGTACCAGACGTTAGAAATGGCATGATCTCCAATATGCTGCCAAGTGGCTTCGGCGAAGAACGGTGCAATGAAACTGGCATCTTTTTGTTCTGGCCACTTTGGGTTGGGGAAGGTGTAGGGCGGCTGGTAGAATTCCGGATCTGAGAAGGCTAGAAGGCCGTCGGGGTAGATCTGAAATTGAGTTTTTTAAATTTTCATTATATTTTTTAAAAATTTTATGTTATTCATGACATTTTTTAAAAATTTTGCCTTCTTTTTCATACTTAAAGCTAACATTTTTATAGCTTTTAATCTAAAACAATATAAATAAATGTCCTCACCATAGAATAATTGAACCTGAAGCCAAAGTAAGGAAAATCAAAGTCAAAATCAATTTGTTTATCGTGATGCGGCTTCAGAAGGATCTTGTTATCACTGAAGCGAGGTCCGTATGGAAACATGTGCCACCAACCTACAACAATAACATAAAATGTACTATAATATAAGTTTTTGAAAGAGTTAAACACATAAAAAAAGAAATAAACCTTGTAAACCTAGAATAATACAAAATAACCCCTCTTATTTCAACCTAAAGTAATATAAAACATTCTCTCTCCCAATGACCTAAACAATATAAACCATACCTTCTTCTTCCCTCAAATCTCCGTGTTCTTGAAAAAACTTGAGCCTCTCTAACTCAACGTGCCCAGGATTGGGCATGTAATTAAAAATCGGTGTTTTGTTGCCAAAAAAGTCGATAGTCGACTGTTCGACAAACGTTTGTTGACCTTCGACCACTCGTAAGAGACAAACAATGAACAATATTGTCTTGATCATAGTTGGATGTGATTTTGTGGCCAAATTTAATTTATCGACGTTAGCAAAATTTAAAACGGCTTTGACACCATTAAAAATTATATTACTAGCCATACTTGGCATCAATCCATCGACGAACTTCAACGATGATTTTTGGCCAAACAAATTAGAACTATTACCAAAATATTTCTTTGTAGTAGTCGGAAAACGTAAAAAACTCTTATTTACAACAACCATTTGCCGTTACGACCATCCCGGCCACGAGAACAACGTAAAATAAAAGTAATCGAGGCGCCGCGCGGACCTGGCCAAAGCGGCCCAAAGGCAACGCACGCGTTGATTCCATGGCAACGCACGCGCCTCTGGAATTAGAATATGTGGCGTAAAGAGAAACGAACAATACCTAAAACTTTAAAATTTGGATGGCACTTTCTGAATTGACCTAAACATCTGAAAAAATGAAAAAACGATATTAAACAAGAAAAAATTGAACAAGAATAAAATCATTGATCAAAGAGACCAAATCCTTTTATTTAAAGCTTTTAATTTAATTAAAATTAAAGCTAAAAATTAATTTAGGCCTAGAAGCTAATAAAGTCTATTTTACATTCATCAGTTACCTATTTTTCAGTTTATAACGTTCTTCAATGTTATTCATCTCTGTTTCTCTTAACCAAGTTTGAATTACATTATCCAAACTTGTCAATTAAACAAATACACTTCATAACAACTAAATATTTGCTATGTATTCATATGCTATCAATCTTCACATTTTTATCACGTTCTTGCTCTTATTCTTCTCGCAGCAAGACAATTTACCTTGATCTACTTTCAAATCTTTTTTTTTCTCATAAAATTATTAAAAAATTTTAAACTTAAAAAATCTGTAGACAATTTACACCTAATCAGTAGACAAATCTACATTTTGTGTCGATTTCTAAGGCCCTATAAAAGATCCCGAAACACTTTTCCACATTCATTAATAACCTCTCTTGTCTTTGTGGGTCCCGTCACGAAGCTTATTTGCGTAAAAACTCCGTTCAAACCGAATATTTTTCGGATTTTTGTGATAAATTTTCGTCGGAGTTTATTCACTTCGTTTTGACAAAACATGTCAAGGGCAGATGCGTTGAAATTTCTGTGTGGATGGGTAAGTTGTAATTTATGAGTTTTTATGTTTTTTGTGTAAAATTTAGTGTTGTTGAGGTAAATATACTTTTTTATGTTATTAGTGATTATGGTTAATGTTTCAGGCGTCTGACACTCATCCAGGTGGAGCAAAGTTTGATGCTGATAGTGTTGTAGATGGAACAATTGTGGCTGAGTTGTTATGCCGAATGTGAGTTGGTTTATTTTGAATTTTTAACTTAGGTTGATAGATATACGCTTTTATACCGAACTTATAATTACTGGAGTTACTTGGAGAATTAATGTTTTAAGTAGCTTTGCTATAGTTTTATTCGGCTTTTAAAACCAATTAAGTATAAGATTGTACTTGTTTTGAAATTATTTTATGTTATTTTAGGTGCGATAAGGTGTTTACCATGGAGTTTGTTGATGAAATAGCTGAATGTCAGTTGGATGAGTTTGGGACAACATCAGAGAGACTAAGGCTGATTCAGAAGAAGTTGAAAGATTTCTTTTTAGCTGTGTATAAACGAAATCCGACTGAAAAATGTCGTCTTTTTCCAAAGGTCAAGGATTTGTGTAAGTTCTATACAAAAATTATTCTACAAGAGTTTGTCTGTTACTTTATTATGTTTTAAACTTTTTTGTAGTATTTTCAGTCCTTACAAAAAAGGTCTATTAGAATTAACTAGTCTTATTTTAGGTAACAAAGACGAAACAGCTCTGTTAACATTCTTGTACGTAGTCACCTTCATTTCGATTTGCCAACAAGGATTATGTAAGTTAATTTGATTTTTGTTTTATTTGTTTAGTGGCAAAAGACTTTCACGATAAGCTCGAACAACAGTCCAGGACAATTCAAAGGCGGTTCAGGAGAATGGAAGCCAATATGGATGACTTTCTAACCGGTGAAGACGATTCTGATGAAGATGTAGCTGCATTGAAAGAGACAAATGATGATTTAGTGTTGCAATTGGAAAGTGTTAGAAGTGAAGTAAGATTTTGGGATTTTTATGTTGTACTAAGTAAAGTTGAGATGTTGACGTTGGTTTTTGAACTTTCTTTTTGTTTTTAAGTATTTAAACGGAGTATATTATTGTTTTACAATAGCTTTTAACTTTTTTTAATTTATATTTTTAAAAAGAAATGTTAAAACACAAATTTAACGCTATTATTTTAGGTCGCAAGGCTACGAAACAGTGAAATATTGTTGAATGATGAGTTGAAACGAAGTGAAGCTAAACTGCACGAGCTTTTAGAAGTTGAAGAGAAAAGCAAAGAAAGAAAGTCATCCGACGAACAGTTTTACAATGAAAATGTACGAAGTAAAGAGGCAATGATAAGTGAACTAGAACAACGAGTCGAAGAACTAGAAGAGGTGGTCAAGGAGCGGAATAAGTCATTGGTGAGTTTAAAATTGTTTTTTTATAGTTTACTGCGATTTAAATCTTATGGAAATTTTAAAAAATTTAGGTGATTTCTGTGTTTGTGAGTAGCAAAATGATATTGACATGAAAAATGTGTTTATGTAAACAATATGCCAATCTGTTAAAAACTTATTGTTTAAAAATTCCAGACCGAAGTCCAAAAAGAGTTAGACACGGTAACTTCCGAACACGACCGAGATGTACAATGTTTCGAAGAGATCAACGACCAAAACCGACGAGAAATCGAAAAACTGAAGAAAGATGCTGAAAACGTGAGGACAGGCAGTCCAGACTACATTGAAAAGACGGCTCTTAAAGCACATATTGATTCTTTAACAGAACGGAACGCTGTCTTAGAACGACGACTTAAAATGTACGAAGAAAAACGAGATGTCATCGACGATCTTCAACGCACTCTGAATCTAAAGACAAAAGAGTTGGACTTACTTCAAGATGAAATTAAAAAAGTCAAACGTGAATATGAAGAAATGAAAAATGAAGTGGAAAGGCTACGAAATGAAACCGACGTCCTGAAGAATGATTTGCGACAATTGGAAGAGGAAAATGAAAATTTGAAAAGTGAATATGAGAGGATACAGGAAGAGAAGGAGAAGTTAGAGAAAAATGAAGTAGATCTAACCAATTCTCTGAATGATACAAAGGAGAAGTTGGAGAATGAGTTAAAGGAAGTGAGGGGAACGTTAGAGCGAAGTCAGCTTCAGATCAGCCAAATGACAGAAACATTGAATGAAGATACCGAGGATGAGTTTGATAACACTGTGTTTGATCGGTAGGTATTTACTAGTATTAATATATTTCTGATTTGTTGATATATATTTTGTGATAATTTTTATTAGACTAAAGTTTATAATGTAGTAATGTTTTACTTTTTCAGACCACCAAGTGTCAGACGAAAACGAACATCAAGCCGCCTAGAGAACCGATATCGTACAACATCTTCAAAGCTAATTGGATTTGTCTACAATATCTTGTTCTGGATTATGCTGATATTTACAATGTTAATAACATTTGGTGCTTCAAGGTACGCATGGTGCACATATCATGGACAAACCTTTACTCTACTTGGAGAAGTCAGGCTTAACACGAGAATATGCAAATTATACCCGGAAATGTGCGTTTTCCCAGAGTTATTCAAACGAAACATGAATGAGTATTAGTCTAGTACTATTGGCACTAAAAGTAATGTTTCTTGGTACCCAGATTTGTATTTACGAAGACATTTATGGTGCTAGTAGTACTGTTTGTATTTTATGGTGCTGTAGTACTTTTTGTTTTTTAACGTACTAACAGTAATATTTGTATTTTATGGTACTACTAGTGCTGATAAGATCTCACTGCCTTTACTCTAAGTTGTATTCTATTTGGTCTGAAGTCATAATGACTTATTTAGTGTAATTATTGTATAGAAAACGTATGAACAGGTGATTTCATAGAGTTTACTACGGTTTTAACCAGTTTTTTAGTTATTAAATAAATTTTTTATGAATTTCATTGGAATTACAATAATTTTAACTGTTTTTGAAGTAGTTGCAGAGCAGTTGTGTATTTTACTTTTTTTGCACTAATTTTGTTGAAATATTTGCCGTTAAATTAAAAAATTTGTCGCACTTTCCAAGTTTTTCCAAAAATCAGCTAATTTGTCATTCAGATCACCCGGAAACATTCCCTCGACAGGTAGAATTCGTGTTTTTGGATCAGATAAGTTCAGATTTCTCTTCGCATCCGGGCCTTTCGCTTTTGCTCTCACCTGAAGTTACCGCGGAGAGATTCGAATCAACACGGTAACCCAGACGTCATACGTGAAAGTGGGTGAACGAAAAGGAAAAAACGACAATACGTATTAATCGTATATTATCCATGGTAGGTTTTAGATCAAGAATTCATTGTGAGGAGGTTGTTAATGTTCTGGGAGATGAAATTGATCACATAATGTGAATATTGTGGTAAAAAGATAAGAAATGTGCGTTAAAAGGTATACTATGATATTGTTATGAGAAGTCTGATTATAAGAAGTGTTGTTATGGTCAACATGGTCGACTAATCTCAATAACCTTGTTCTGGCTTTAAAAATTACCTTATTTTGACTCTAAAACACTAGATATAAGAAAAGTTTGTTATAGACAACAAGATTTTTTACATTATGAAGCTACAGCAAACATAAAATGACAAAATACTTAAAAAAATCTAAATCAACATACAAAAAAGCAGTTGAATATATAAGTACGCTGTGTAATGTTACAACCTGCAAAAGTACGAAAAACGAAAGTAAAGGACAAGGGAATGGCGTAACTGTGTAGCTCACTCAGTGGGATATCCTCAACTCCGGTTTCTGAGGCTTTTCGTATGACAAAAGACGTCTTGGGAGTTATATAGACAATAAATATACCCTCTGGCTTCTCTTGTATTATATTACTCAGGCTAATATTTGATTTTTTCAATGAAAGACGTACTTTTAATTAGGTTTTGGGGATGTTTTGGTACTTTTTTTAGGGAAAATGTGGGATTTGCATTGTTTTGAGGGGTTTTTAAAGGCTATATTGATGTTTAAGGGGGCTTTACTTATAAGATTGTTGGTGAAAAGTTATTTTAAGTATAGTATTGTTAGTGAAAACTTATGTAAATGATGTATTATGACGTATTTATTAGGGCCGATTACATTTCAATATCATTATACTACCTCAACATACCTCTGAATCACTATCAAGTTCTGCTAACACCTTTATAATTAACCGGTCGATCAAGAAAAGTTATTTTTGAGGAATCAGAAGTAGCCTTTTCAGGAAACGGCTCCGTTTGCACGTTTGGAGCCGTTACGAAATGTACTTTATACGCAGTAAAATTTGCACAATAAAACAAAAAACGTCTCTTTTGGTATCCTCGCTGAAGAGTTCCGTTGCGAAATAGAGGTTCAGAGATCAATAGGTTATGTTAGGGGTTAGGGATGGGACCAGGAAGTAAAATACGTCATAACTGCTTGACAAATGTCATTACGAAATGGTACTGCAACATTGTGAATAGAGCAGGTTAGGATACTTTAATATAGAGTAAACGGATATTTTAGATTAAAGTAAAGTAAGACAGAGTAGAGTAAATTGGATGGATAAGGTATGGTAGGATAGACTACGGTAGGGTAAAGTACGGTAAAGCACGGTAAGGTAGGGTAGAGCAAGACAAGGCAAGGTAGGAAGGACAGGACAATACAGGGTATTGTAGGGTAGGGCAATATCAAGGGTTAAAGACAGAACAGGGTAGGATAATATCAAAAGTAGCACATATTTTCAAATGAGATAACTCCCTTAGTTTCATAATTTTACCTAAAAACTCTTTACTATACTAACACGACCATAACATTCCTTTGCCTCAATCCGCCCCCTGAACTTTTTGCAATTTCGCACGTTATACGACCCCGCTTTAACGATGGAGGAACGGCCGAACGTGAGAAATAAATTTTATAGGCGAGCGCGCGAAAGTCAATAAAAAACAACTGGTTTTGGTGAGCCGATTTTATCAGCCGTCTTCCTCCAGATTCTACCTTTTGCGAACGCGCCCAGGTGTCCGCCGCATCCGTATTTAAGCAACGGGGCGCGGGCCACTTTCAGCAAACTTTTCGCTAATTTTTTCAAAATTTAAAAAATTTTTTTTTGCAAAAACTGTTTGTTGAAATGTTTAAATGGGTTTAGGTGTCAGTTTTAGGGGTTTGCTTACGGTAGTTTTGTTTATTTTTTTTGAAAAAAAAATTGGTTCTAAGGGTTGATTTAGAGTTTAAAGGCTTAGGGGAGGATGTTTCATCCTCCTGTCTTTATTTTCCCTTATTATTGGTCGGTAGGATCATCTATCTACAAGTTTTTTTCTAGGAGCATGTAGGTCAGGAGGCTGAAAGCCATTTTTTTTATTTACAGGCGCTTGTGCACTAATTTTTTACTTTTTTTCACCTCTCCTAATCTTCTCCTACTCCCCTTACCCACTGGCAAAATTCCTGTTGGCCGCTTTTTCTTCACTTGCCTTCTGTCTGACCATGCTCATAGTAATATATATTTATTAGGCCGTTAAAATAATTCTGTGCTCTCTAGACCCGAAAATTTGTTTTAAAAATTTTTGTTTTGGGAGGGAGCACAGTATTATTTGAACAATCTAATATTATTATTAAATTTAAACTTGCACCCACATTTTAAAACTTTTAGCTTTTTAATAATCGAACAAAGAAGCAAAATAATGTTACTCTACCGAAAAACGGGTATATAATATGGAATCATATTACATTAAAACACTTTTCGAAGTTTTTAAACAACGAAATAAAAAATATCAAACCGCTCTAGGCAACGTTAACTAAAATTAAAAAGTTATTTTAGTTTCCGTATCGCAATATGTAGTTTTGGCTTTAGAAAAACTGTTTTGAATATTCTAGCTACTGGGGTAAAGGTAATACGGCAAAGTCTCGTTATAATGTAGGGTTGGGTAGTGTGTACTTAAAAAAGTAGGGGACGGCCGTTAGAGTTTTTTCATTTAAAAAATTTTAAAAAAGTAAAGAAAGTAAATTTTGTTAGAGTTGGACAACTGATTTTAAAGGGTTGCTGGAAAGGGGGGGGTCTGTATGATAAAAATTATTTGAAGTATATGAATGATTACAAAAAATTTCTTCACACTCTTTTTTAAAAGCGTAACTTATGATTCATCATCGATCGCTGACAACAAACATTTTTTTTTCAAAGTTCGCTTTTCATGCAAAAATTTCAAAAATTCACCACCCGTCCATTACCACCTAATCCATCAAAAAACAATTTCAAATATTTCCCATACTTTTTCAAATCCTCGAAACTAAAAAAACCTAAAACAAGTGTCCCAAAACCCTTGCGTAGTAGTATATTTACACTCAAAAATCCCGCGCAAAGTCCGACACAAAGTGAATATAAAAAAAGGAGCCTTCGATGTGGTAATCAGTAGTTGATAAGCTCATTGATTTTCATTTTTTTGTTTTTCCTCCTCACCAACAATCCCGAATCTCTCGACCTTCCCCATCTCGACGCCTTTTGTCATCGTTATCAAACATGCGAACTCAATAAAAAAGATATTTGCGAGTTTTTTCACTCCGACATCAATTTTTAACTTGACAATTTTTGTTTTACTTGGTGGTTGAGGGGGGTTTTTCGAAACTTGAACAAATCTTATTGACATTACAACTTCCTCGAGAAGGCAACTTGTATGTATATGTGTTAAGGGTGGGGTTGTTGGGAAGGTTGGTTGATAAGGAACGGAATGGTAAAGAGGGAAGGGAAGGGGGGGGTACTATTTTTTTTGAGAAAAGTTAAACATACTCTCATGTTAATTTGAGCTTGAGTAGGCCGGTCCCAAATTGATCAACTAGTTGATAAAATGAAGTCGAGACCAACCTACTTGTTTTGTTTTGGGGAAGGTAATTTTTATTCAAGTTCCCTACTTTTGAGGCTTTTTTCGACAGAACGCCAAAGTTTTGAGAAGGGGTTTCAATGTTATCGAAAAATGTTACACTAGTCATACTTTGCACGTTTAGAGAATGAAAGCACAATTTGTTTGCAAATTCCTAGTTAAAAATATTTTTTATTCTAACGACAACACAACAACTCGTATTTTACAAAAGGTATTGTTTGCGATTCAATCTTTGTTTATGTAATACCGTACTCTCTCTATATAAGCAACCCGAAAGGACCAACATTTTATGTTTACTATAAAGAGAGTCAGGGTCGGGCGGAGACTTTTGGCCTGTGGGCGGGAGACTAAAAAGTCCACAGGGGGGACCAAGTTCAACTTTTTTCGAATTTTTTTTTGAGGTGGGAGGGTTTCTTTTTTGGGGGAGGAAGAGAGTTGCTTATACTGATGATTCACCGTATAGGGAGACTGCTGTAGTAAAGTTTTAAAGTAGTTCCGCTTTTTCTGATCAAAATATATGTCCCGCTAACAATAAACAGCCTATTTGAAACTCCTCTAACTTTTTATAACAAACAAATTTAACATCTTTAAGCGATTTATTTCAAAAGAATTGTATAATAATAGTCCTACTGATACATAAAGTTATAATCTCCATAGATATGTCACCCAATTTCTCTCACAAATTAATGTCATACCTGTTTATCCCATTTACCTCCAAAGCTCTGTAATTCCGTTTGTTGTTATGATAGTAAAC